CTATTCTTCTTCTGCAAATTGAAAATTGAATGGATTGCATTACTTCAACCAAAAGACAAAGACAAATACTAACTTCACAGTGTTGCAAATTTAAGTTTGAAGAATAAACTACTACCGAATGAATTTACTAAGCAATCCAAAAAACAAATATGAATTTACTGGCTTCAACCAAAAGACAAAACAAAGACAAATACTAAGTTATTTTAGAACTGTTTAGCAGTATTGGCAGCAACCAAATGAATTTACTAAGCAATCCAAGTGAAATGGTTAATCTAAGTGAAATTACGAGTAAATCAAGTTAAATGAAAAATCTTAAACTTACCTCGTTGTGTAGAGTATGAACCTCATTCTGCAACGATGCTACCAACTCACGTAGAGCCGCTACCTCACCACGTAAAGTAGATACCTCCTCACGCCATTCACCATTGTCATCGCGTAAAGTACTGACCTCCTCACGCAAGGCATTGACCTCATCACGTAACTCCCCTAACTCATCCCGTGGAAGTGGAGAACAGGGAGATAAATGTCGTGGCATCTTTGTCGGTCGCCTATCATGAGGTGATGGTGGAGAAGAGGCTCGATGATGTGACAGAATAGGTGATGGCTCTCGTTGTAGAGGTGTATAGTGTGGTCGATCAGGTGATGGCTCTGGGTGAGGTGTTGGCTCTCGAAGTGGAGGCTGCTCATCATCCGTGCCATCAAAAAAACGCTTACTAGCTTGCCACCAATCAGTGGCAAGCTCAGCCTCCGTGGGTGTCAGCCTTTGTAATGGAGTGTTGGCCTCCTAACAATATAAAAGCTCAAATAAAGTTAAACATATACTAGTAATAACTTGTTTATATATGGTAGTATTTGTGTTAACTTACATCATTTATTGTTGTATACCGTAGTAACTCTTCCCAAATCAACAGCCGTCGTTTCCTCTTCCAGGAAATAGCCCTAGGAATATTATTTGAAGGTTTTAATGCATATGTCTGCATGTCGGGAAAAGCCTCAAATATCCAAATCTACAAACATTAGTAATTGTTAAAATAATTAATTATAATTTTGGAAATATTATATATAAATTCTTACCTTAAAGGCCCAAATAAAACCTGACAAAGTGTATTTGGAACTATCGCCACACAAACTTTTGCAGTCATCAAAGGCAGACGACAACTTATTCCAGGTAGCTTTCCATAGATACGAACCCCACGGAAATAGGTTCCATGCATTTAGGTCCTCTACCAATAATATTAGGTCCTTAGGAATAGGTTGTATGCCCTCTCTGCCTAAAAAGCCGGCATGCAAAAGTACTAAAAGGCATACTCGAACAACATCGACGTCATCCATCCGAGTAAAACCATCTTTCTTATTAAATAATCTCGTCAAGTCGTCGACGTGTAAATTCGACTTCTCCATTGACAGCTCAGGAAAAACCCGGGATAACCATGATGGGCGGGTAATATGACTAGTGTATCGACCTACATCATCGTGTCTGAAGCGTAGACCAGTGATTAAGCAAAACTCCTCCCGCCCAAAACACGTATACGCCGGTGGAAAATGAAACCATATCTCTTCATTACCACGTTCTATACTCTCAGGTAGATCGCGTGTCATGGTCTGAAGCCACAAATAGGTCAACATAGCATCTCCACCCGGATGTTGTACTTTCAGCCATGGCCCGAAGCAAGTATCCTCAAACAATTGTCTTTGTACAGGTGAAAGCTTCGACGCATTTGTAGTGACTAGGCTTATTTTATTCCTTAAGGTCAATTGAGCCGAAAAAAAGTTATACAAAAACAATAAATATACCAAATTAGATATACCAAAAACTACACTGTGAAGATATACCAAAAACAATAATAAACATAAAGCGTAGTAGTTTATTCTTTAAACTTAATTTTGCAACACTGTGAATTTCGTATTTGTCTTTGTTTTTTGGTTGAAGTAATGCAATTCATTCAAGTTTCGATTTGCAGAAGAAGAATAGTTTCTGAAACTTAAAATCGCAACACGAAAATGAAAATCACAACACGAAAATGATTATCGCAACGCGAATTTGACTATCGCAACGAGATAATCGCAACGCGAAATGGCTATTGCAACGAGATAATCGCAACGCGAATTTTTTCGTTGCGATTCTCGGTTTCAAATAGTCATTGTCTAAAATTGAAACTTGAATGAATTGCATTACTTCAACCAAAAGACAAAACAAAGACAAATACTAACTTCACATGGTTAAAGACTAAACAGTAGCAATATTGGCAGCAATCTATTATTGAAATTACCAGTAAACTTATCATTAATTTCAATATGAAAAACCTAATAATAATGCAAAAATTTCAAAATAAAAATAATTAAAAAAACTAACCCTCGGTGGTTGATTTGGTTGATTTTCCATTTCTGATCGTGAATGATTGTGAGGGTGGCTCTGAGAGATGGAGATAGACGGATTTCGCCGGAGATGGGGACGGATTTCGCCGGAAATGGGGATGGATTTCGTCGGAGATGAGGACGGATGTCGTCGTAGAGAGTGAGAGATGGAAATGGGACTGAGTTGTGATTTAGGGTTTTAGGTTAAGAGTTACGATTACGGGTAAATATTCGTGTTTGGAATTTGAAAATAAAATACGCGTTGCGATACTAATGGCGCTTTGAAAATCGCATTGCGATTTTATATTATCGCAACGCGATAGTCAGAATTTCGTTGCGATAGTCAGAATCGCGTTGCCATCACGTATTATCGCGTTGCGATAGTCAGAATCGTGTTGCGATCACGTGTTATCGCGTTGCGATTTACATATTCGTATTGCGCTTTACATATTCGCATTGCGATTATCTAAAATCGCAACGCGTATTTCGAAAATCGCAATGCGATGGTCAAAATCGCGTTGCGAATCTGGAAATTGAATTGCGATAATGAAGATCGCGTTGCGATTTAGAGATCGCATTGCGATTTTGTTGGTCATTTTGGCAAATCGTAAAAAAATTGATTAAAATCGTATATTATAAGGAATTTTTGGTCACGGAGGTTATTTTCTCTTAAAAATATTGATGATGTATGAAAAGGGTCAGCCATTGAAAGATCTTGGAAGTGTCCTGATCTTTAATTAGTTATATTTTAAACTTGAAGCATCTTTTAAATGTTCGTTTTAAAAATACAACGACAAAAAATTTGGCCAACCATGTTGGAACGCACAAAGCAAAAGTGAATTAACAAATATATTTCCTTTGCATTCATCTCGTAGTGCTGCCATTGTTACTACTATTTTCATTTTTATTTTCAATAATGGACTAAATTCCATCCACCAGAGTCTACGAAACACGTGCAATTTTTAATTATTGGAGGAGCATCTTCTTCGTGAAAAAGGATAAATAAATGAAATTTTATTTAGAAAATTGAAGTGTTTTTTTTACGAAAATGATTAAAATTATTTTTGAAGTGTTGATAATACAAGTCAAGCTAGGCTAATATATATTTTCAGATATTTCCTCAAATTATTAAAATTAATTTGATAAAACTCATTTACAAGTTTAGTTTATGAACAAATCTAGTTTTCATTACAATAAAATCTTCAAAATATTTTGTGATCAGCATCTTCAATGTATATAACAAAGAATCAACCAAATGTTTCAATTACCTATTTATCTCAAGACCATTTCTTTTAAAAAAAATTATCTTGAAAAAGGCAATTAATTGGAATAAAATAATGGGATGGCGAAACTGAGTTGATGCTTATGGAGACACTAACAAAACATGGTCGACCTAATTACGAGCTTTGTTAATTAAGATTCAATGTTCATGCATGGAAAGAATTCATGTATAGTGAGACTTCATTTCCATGACAATCATGACTTTCTATGCATGCATGGATTAAAAAATATAGCTTAACATGGGCGAGTAAAATGTAAGTTTATTCCATATATACGGATTAAAATCCAACAAATTTAATTTGTTCGATTTAAGATTATATATTTTTTAAAGAATAAATAATATATATTCAATATTTTTATATTTGAAATGTATATTTTTTAATTTACACCCTAGGTGTATTAATTAAAGTATTTATCTTATGAGAATCAATGAGTGTGTCTCAATAACTACCCTATATTATAATTATAACTCACAGAACAGCTACCCCTCTTTAATACTACGTTGATTTTCCATTTTCCTAAAAGAAAAGGAAAATTAAAATTAAATACCCAGATATTTTTCTTTCTCATTTTTTAATTACTTCAAATTCTTTCTATTTTTAACCGAAGCTGTGGCTGCTTTTTAACTGTTGTGTTCTAAAGCAGCTGATAAGAAAAATTTCAGATTATTTAGTTTCCATTTTATTTAATTGTTTTTTTCTTTCTGAAAAAGTATCTTATTTTTGTGCTCTCTTTCGGTGATTCTTAAGATTAAAATTCCCAACTTTAAGCTATAAAGAGAGCAAGGAGGAGAAATCAAGCTTCACTCAGTTAAAGCTTTAGTTTTTTTTTTATCAGAATTTGTTCATTTACATTTTATTTTTGTCAATTTCTGATAGAGGAAAAACAAAATTAAGAAAGACTAAATTTTGCTCCTGAGAACTTAAAACCTTGTCTAGTCGATTGTTATCCCGTTGTTGTATATCTGCAGACTGTGCAAATCAGTATGAGAATAGGAATTTCTGGAAATACTTGAAGGCACATGAGTAAAATGTGAATACCATTGAAGTTTAATTCTCCTTTAGTTTGTAAATTATTGCAACTTTCCCCACCAGAAACTGAGATAGGTAACTGATTGCAGGTAATTGGTTTGTGAGCTGAATTTTGTACTATGGTAAACTAATTTTTCAGCCAGTAGTAGATCGGGTTTCTTTGCTTAAGTGGGGAGGGTAATCAAATATGTTAGTAAATAAAAAGAGTTTCTGCTCTTTACTGTGCCGATCCTTCGATTATAATGCTGGTTGGTCTCATTTGTTGCTTGCTGATGCAGCTACTGAGTACTATATCTACAATTGATGACTTGAATTATCCGGAGAAGACAGAGACATATTAGATTGTCAATGCGCCATACATATTTTCAGCGTGTTGGAAGGTTTTATTTTTTTTACTTTTCCATAGTTCTTTCAGCTAACTTGTATAAAAATATATTTCTAATGCTTTTCTGAAAATTTCAGGCTGTTAAACCTCTCTTGCAAGAAAGGACAGAGGAAAATTCAGGTGCTTCAAGGTTGTGGACGGGATGAGTTACTCAACGTAAGAAAAAACCATCCATTCATGTTCGTAAAACTCTCTTGAAAGCCTGTTTTGTTTTCAAATAGCAGCAAATCTCTCTTGTTCTTTCATATACACTTTTTTAGTTTTGGTACAAAGGAAACTTCAGACTGGGAATAGGGAAACGGGCTGCAGATGTTGGGATTTGAATCCCAAACTGGCTGAATGCACCTCTTGTTGGTGGTTGTATGAACAAACTGAGCCAAGTTTCGGGTTTTCTTTTACACTTGCACTCGTGGTAAGATCACCTCTTTGACTCGAACATCCACTGTTGTTAGATATTATGCTCCCATAATGTGAAAGGTATCGTAGTATGTCTTAGTTTGCATTCAACCATATTCAATGGTTAATCCTTGTGATTTTACAAATAGTCGATTGAAATCACCTTACTTTCCCCATCCCAACTAAACTTCCTTTCATGGTTTTGCATACTGTTTCGTTATGATGTATGAAAAGATAGCTTCATTGAATTGGTTATTGTGACTGTTCCTCTTTAGCAATATTAATTCAATAAGTGGGGTGTTCCTCGCTTATTTTCTCTCGTATAATTTTGTGGTGCAGGCTGTTTTGCTCGTTCTTACACCTTTTGACATGTTTATTCCTACCATGCAGATAATGAATTATTCGTCCCTTCCACATTTTTGTCGCAAGGAAGGTTCCGGGTCATCACGAAATAGCAGCAATGGAACTGTAGATAATTGTTTCTCATTAGACCACACCTACCATCAACAGCTTTACGATTACATAAAGCAACAAGCTACACTTGTAGAGACTGGTAGGCCAATCAAACAGGGATCAGTTCATGTAGATTTTCCCGAGCCGGATCCAGAAGATGCCAAGATTGCAAACACCATCAAATCCGAGTTCCAGAAGCTTGCAGACCAAAATGGTACATCCAACTCACTGAATGGCCATAAAGTAAATGGTGATTAGATCTTTACATAATACTGATCACAAAAATTGTTACCAATATGTTACTCGAAAGTCGACACTTCGACAGGAAAAGGCTAATGTACCTACATTAGAATGAGAGGTCTTGTGGTATTTGAATTATGAAATGTAATAGCAGAGTTTTCTTGCACAGGATCGAATCCGAGATCCGATGTGGGTCTAGCAGACTTCTAATCTGGTGTAACTTGATAATGCCTCCTTTGGGTGGATAATAGCAAATGATTTTTACCAAATTATCTGTAGGAAGCATGGTATTGACAGTCATAATTGCTTCTGGGATTATTTTTGTTGTTAGCAGCCTCTTGAATATTTTCTAAAACATAGTCGGCTTTAATGGGGAAATAACTGCTTTGAGCTAGCACCTGTTCTTTCTTTTGGTTCCCTCAATGCTGCTTGCAAACTAATAAGGGTAAGAGAAATTTGATTCCACAGATCTCAGATGTACAAACAACCAAATATGTTTGTCTCAACCATTGATAAATGTACAAAAAGATCCGATTAACTGAAATGTTCACAAAGGCTTCTGACTGGTCCCATACGAGGGAGATCCGTCAATTCTATTGATCCTTTGATCGAGGCTACCGCCGAAATTAGGCAGAACTACCTTTTTTGAGGTGGAAGACTTCGATTTTTTCAACTTTTGAACTGGAACAATTTTATCTGATGGGTTCTGTTTTTTACTTCTGCATTGCTGTGGTGACGGTTTCGCTAGAACCCGAGCTGCTGCCTCGGCTGCAAACTTCTGTTCCCTTTCGTGCCACCTTCGGAGCTCTCCTTCGACCACTTTCTTCGCTGCTTCAGCCATCTCTGCTCTTTTCAGAGCATCTGCAGTTGCGACCTTCATGTCTTCAATTTCTTTCTTTATCACCTCGAATCTCTTGAGGGCCTCGTTTTCGCTAGCCTTAACTGCTTCTATCTGAGCCATGGCAGCTGCCACTTTCATTTCGGCTATATTATTCAAGTCCTCAACCCTTTGGCTTAAAGACTCGATTTCTTCCCTAGAGATGGTGATATCAGTTCCAGACTCCGGGGTTGAAGCTCGTGCAGCATTTGTTCTCTCGGAAAGCATCTTTATCTCATCAAGTGCCTGTGCCTCGGCTACTTTTGCTGCTTCAGCTTCTTCCAAAGCAACACTCAACTGCTTCTCTGCTCCCTCAAGTGCAATTCTTGAGGCTTCACCTTCCAGCTTTAACTTCTCGATTTCCTTCTTCATCTCTTCTGCTTCTTGTCTGGCATTCTCCGGTTTGACCAATAGCTGTTGGAGGGTTGAAATCATTTCTTCATAGGTACCTCTTGTTTTGGATTCCTCTGCAATGAAAGCTTCAAGCTCACATCTACTTCTCCAAAGCTTGACATGCAGGTTCCCGGCGATGGACTCCGTTTTCGCTTCCTTATCCTTCAGTTCCGAATGCTCTTTCTTCACATTCTCTAGTTCAACCTTAAGAGACTCTACCAAGCTCCTCAATGAGCTTTCCTCGTCAACGACTATTTGCAGTGATCCTTTATCAGCATCGAGCTCTGAAGTAATAGCTTGCATGGACTCCTGATCAGAAGCCATTGCATTTTCCATCTGCCTTTGCAAATCCGCAGTCTGATAGACAGTTTCAGAAAGTTTAACTTCGAGATTTCTTGCAAGGTCAAGATCAAATTCATTCTTTAGAGCAAGCAACCTCTTCGCGGACTCTTCAAGCTTAGCTTTATATAATTGCCTCAGGCTATCCTTTTCGGCTAAAGTTTTAGCTTGTTCTTGCTGTACTTGAAGAGATGCAAACATTACTTTTCCAATCGATTCCTTTACAGCCGAAATCTCAACGGAGAGCTTTCCTACCTTCTCGCTGTTAACCTTAACTGCAAGTTCGGCTTCTTTTGCTAAGCTCAAAGCAGCCATTTTCACTACTAAGGATGCATCACGATCACAGTCATATATTGATCCCTAGCAGTTTCCAAGTCTTCGCTCACGGCACCATTGGTTCCAATGAGATGACCGGCATTTGTTTCTTCGATCTGCTTAGCCTGATCCTTTGCAGCTTCGGCAGCGTTGATTGCCGAATCCCTTGAATCATAAACAGATTTGAGTTTGTGTGTCAGTTCGTCAACTGTTCTTTTAGCCCTTTCAACATCTTTGAGCACTTGAGACTTAGTTGTCTCGGCATTTTCGAGTCGCCCCTTTAACTTGTTCAACACGTTTTGAGTCAGGTGAAGCTGAGTCTCCTTTGCCAATACTCTCTGCAGCTCAACAACAAATAAATTTCCTAAACCAATAAGACTAGCAATCATTAGAGATAACAGTGTAAAAGAAAAACTTGAACGTGTGATAAATATCATATCCAAGACTAGGAAAACTCGATTTGACTACGCCTCGTCACAACATTCCGGGTGAAAGAACAAAGAGAACTGGCCAAGAGTTGGTAATACCTCTGCAGAGCGAGCTTTTGCCGTTTTTATGGCGTGGTTTTCCCCAGAAAAGGCACCTTCACCAAAACGAGTGATGGCATCTTTAACGGTTCGGAACGATGCGCTCGTGTCTATCTCTCCGGCCTCCGCATTCAGGGAGTCAGTGGCACTTGAGCATCCCATTGCAACCATGGGGTTTTGCTTGTTTACTATCTCTCTGAAATTCACAGGTTGAAATAAAGAAAATGAGTTGGCACGAACCAAACAAAGGAAACTATAATCTTAAACATTGTTTCTCCTATATGATCCAACTGATTCTTTGGCATTATCATGAATCTCCGATTCTTAACAAGACATGCCGATCTGAATTGCTAATCCGCAACCTCGATCGGTAAAATTCCGGGCCAGAAGAGTCCTCGGAAAATCAAAGGAAGGTTCATCCTATGCACTTATGAAAGTTATGGTATAAATCTGTCCTACATTAAACAATTAATACCCGGAAATCAATGTAATCATAATTCATAACGTGTTTAATTCTCTTTAAAGCAATAATACCTTAAATATCTTGTCAAAAATGTCGAATCATTAAAGAAGACGAAGCTTTAATGTCCCCCGCCCCCAAGAAATGCAAGCCGGTGAAACCCTAATTCAACATCAAAGAGAAAGATAATTCTTTCAAAATTTCTAAGAATTCAATAACATGACAAAACTGACATCTCAAGTCAACATGTAAAATAAAACGTCACCTTACCCTTGGAATCTTCATGATCATCTTCTTTGATCTTCACACTCTTCATTCTTTCATTAAAATACCCTTTTAATCTTTCAGCTCAGGGACCAAAACGCATTGAGAAAAATCCAAACTTTAGACAAAAAAAATTATCAACCAAGAAAAAGCAAACTAGTGAGAGAAAGAGACAGTTATGTAATAATGTTTTACGATGAAATGACAGTTTTGTCTGAAACATATAAATAAAATTAGGAAGAAAATGGAGAATGCCATGTTATAGTCTTGACTGATGAAAATACTAACAATTGTCACACATATTTGGCCACACAGACTTGGTCATGACCCCAATCCATGTGGTTAGTTCCTTAAATGATAATGATTTATTTAATATTTGATGTTATAATAATTTTATCAATGTATTACAGTTGACAAGTATTTTATGAAAATAATTTATAATGTATTACAGTTCGAAATAATCATTTTAAATTCATAATTAACATTAAAAAAATATTCTATGATAGATCGATTATGGATATTAGAATGGACCTATGTAACCCAAATCCATTTGTAGTTCGCGGGAATTATGATAAAAAGTTAGAAAAACTACGTGATAAGCGAGAATACTCACCACTATACCGAAACAACCTTGATGAGATAAGGTAAGAATAAAAGTAAAATATCTTAAACATACTTTATCTGTATAATAGAAATAAATCATATGAACTATAAAGCCATGTATTTCAGAGGAACATGAAATATGTTTATAAATGTAAAAAAAATTATAAATAGGATATAAATATATAAATGAATTAACATAATAAGGTAAATTTTGGAACGCTTTTATGCTTCGGTTGCTTATAAGGTAATGTCAATAAACACTCATTATCGCAGTAAAGATTAGACCAGAAATTATGTCATCAGTGGTGTATTGAAAGCATTCAATAATTGAATGTCCTGAAAAAAAAAGTATGACTGCCGAAAATCTTGCTTCTATTCCTATCGTATGTTGTTTATAAACACTTGTATTTGACATATATTAAATGGGTAAAAATAAAGAAAAGTTCATATTTAACAACACGTGTATATATTCGATACTCAATCTTAGATTTCTACAGTGAAAAGTTGGTGTATATAATTGTATTCATCGTTGGAAAATGAACAACAAAAGCCAATGAAACCAACACAGTTCAAAGGGCATTGACTGCCAAATAGATCCTTTAACCGCGTTATATTAATTTCTTTTATACACATTATACTAAAATTTTATACCCTTTGTGACGGTGTTATAAATTGATTAAAAGAATTCAATGCTGAGACCGGAACTTCCATTATAAAAATGGACCCTCTGACCCGATCCAAATTTGGGTTGGGTCGAAATCCTGAAGATACAAGTTATTTTCCTGACCCAATTATGACCCTGTTACGACAACCTCAGTAAACGATCTCAAAGTACTTTATAACTCATTTCTTTGTCACAAGTTCGCGTCTTCAAACGCTTCTCAAGATCTGATCTTTGCATTTTTGTGAACTCTTGAGCAAGATTTTAAAAACACCCAAAAAGGTAATATTTTTTAGTTCCAATGATCACCTTTGTTTCATACAAATCTTATTCATTTTGTTTTTGCCATTCATACTTCTGATCTTGTTTTGAATTATTATTTTCTTATATTTTCCTGCCTTTTAACGAATCATTCAATTGTAAGTCTAATTCACCTTTTTCTTGCTTCAATATTTGTGGGTTTTTCTCGGAAATGTTTCTGGGTGAAAAAGTTTTCTTCTTTTTGTATTTTTAATAATACCATCATCTCAATTTGAATAGGGAGAAAATCAATGGGGAAACTTTTCTGGCTTTTCGATCTAATAACATTCTTGGAGAAATTACGAGAAAATCGTATTACTCTTTACGATTTCTCATTATGTCATTTATTATTTTTATGTATATTTAATTTTCGTTTAGTTTTTTTTTCAGAAAGTATTAATTTGTTGGTATTTGATTTTACATAGTTTGGTATTTATGCAATTGAATTAACGAAATGCAAGTTTATTTGTTTATCAAGTTCGATGATTCAAATCTATTGACATTGTAATTTGCAGATGAAAACTCGTCGATCCTTTGAATTTGTAGCTGTTATATTGCTAGCATTATCGTGCGGCCTAACTGTGTGTGTGGAATTAGATTCACGATTGATAGAGAAGAATGCTCGTCTCATGATGTTAAGTATGAAGGCGATACTATTCATGTGTCGTTTGTTGTCATTAAGGTCGATTCTGGTTGGCATTTGAGCCATGAGGGTGTCGATCTGGTGATAAGCTTCATGACCCGTTCTTACATCCGATTGCTCCGTTTTCTATCTTGTGTACTTCTATCCCCATTGCTAAAATGTTGCTCAGTTATTACACAATTTAGATTCCTTTGCCATTGTTAAGATCTATGTTTTGAATATATGTCAACATGTGCGTGACACGGAAATTTTAAGAAAATGAAGTGTTCGGGTGACATAGGTTAAGACTGGAAGTCGTTGGTGAATAGGATTTGAGAATGAACTTTGTTGCAAATCTAAACATGCGGACAACACCTCCCTTGATACCCTTGACTCAAAGTCCATGAACTCTACTTGGAATTCTATGCTCGTAACGTAAGTCCAATTACTTCCTGGCTAAGCAATGTCTCATGGTTTGGTTAGTATTGATTTACATTTTAAGTTGTTACCCTGGACTAGAACCAGAAACAGATTCCCAGTTTCCCTCTTAGAGAAACCATCGGCTGCAAAGGCTATTAGGAGCTTTTCCTTTCTCAGAACTCCTGTGTTGTACAATTTGGTAATATTTTGTTTTGATCTGAATAAGTTAGATTCTGAACATGGGGTCCTAAAATCTTAATACTTATAGTGCTTTTAAGTCAAATTGTTGAAGAACTCAAAGTCACGACTCATGAAGTCTCATCAAGTTTGCTACTTGTTGTAATTATCAGGTGAAGGGACCTTTAGGTGATCAGATTCAAGATTATCATGACAAGATAAGTGAGAGATTCGAGTTCGTTGCTAATAAAAAAGAGTCCATCGCACTAACCTTTATTAAAGTGCACTGATTATTGTTCTCATGGTTATTCGATAGGGCATTTCGACCCTCTGATAGAACAAATATCAAAGTTAGAGGAGGCTCTTCATAACATTCAGTTCGAGCAGCACTGGTTAGAGGCACAGACGGAACTCCAGTCCATAGGTATATCTATATTTTTCTTACGTACAGTTAAGACCATTCTGGCTGATGTTCTATCATTTATGTTTAACAACTTATTCAAGACAATTGATAGATCGTATTTCCAAGACATTGGAGTGAATATAGTTCTTGCATTATTAAAGCAAAAAACCTGTGAACTAAGCATTGCATAAATCTCTTGGTAGTCTCATGAATCCTCTGCAGTTGATTACATTTTGTCCTGACAATTCATTTTGACCCGAAATGCAGTGAATGAAGCAATGAGTAAAAAAGCACTTCACAAGGCCTTATATGAATCTGCAGCACTAATTGGAGCAAGCGTTCTGCAAGTTTACCTACTACGACGCCTATTTGAAAAGAAACTTTGGATGTCCCGGGTTTAGCTTACCACTGTAGGGATAATGCGGCATAGTTCCATCCCAGACACCATATACATGAATAGAATCCGATGCAATGTTTAGACATGGTTGAGTTTTAGCAACAGAAAAGCATGATTAGTTTAAGTTATTTTTGCTTAAATTGTTTGTGATTTCATGGATAATTGAAGTTTCTCACCCGTAATCTGGAAAACATGTTTTGATTTTGGCTGAAATTGTTATTCATGCAAATCTGGTAAGGATGAAAAACACTTTAAGCTCACAAGCTATTTGAATTCGGCTCAAATTGAACTTGAATTCAAAACACATCATTATCAAGACAAGCCTGAGCTATTATCAAGAAAAATGTGCTCATGTAATTCGACTTTTATTCGAATCAATTTCGAGTATTAGAAAAGGAACACCCTTTGAACAAACACGCCAAGCACTCGTATAACATATGAAGAAAGAATGTAACGAAGTATAGCTCTACATTTATAAGCAAAGACAAGAAATAACTCGGTTTCTAATAATATATATAAACCACCAAATCAATACATACGTAGATACAACGTGTTTTTTTGTCTCCTTCGCTCTCTCATTTCATCCCACCAAAATCAAATTTTACACCATAAAACATGTATTAAAAGAAAGCAATAAAAAATTCCAGACGGGCTTATTACAGCCTTATGGGTTCTATCTTGTTTAGGATGGTGGGGTTTTGAACTTTCTTGTGGAAAAACTCTTATACAGGCAGGACAATTTTAAGATTCCGCAGGCGGGGCGCGCATGCAGCAAAGCCATTTTTTCTGAAAAACAAGACAGCATCGAATCAGGATAAGAATCGAGAATAGCAACAGTTTACGACAATTATGAGTTACGGCTGCTTCCCGGTATATGCATTCCAATGTCATGAATAAGATCAAGATAAGTCATTAGAGATTACTTACAGGCTGGGTTTTGGTGGCTTCTGCTCCAGGCTTGCCTTTATGATCACCTTCTGAAGGTGATTCGGCTTTCCCTCCTGTTTTCTTCTCGTCCCTTGCCTTGTTAAAGATAATGGTAAATCCCTCAGCCGATGCAGGATCGTTGACATCCCATTCACCAAATTTTGGTAATGGACGACCCTTGTCCTATCAGGGCATAAAGGAAAGTAAAATGCAACACATTCCAGGTCATTATAGGCTTCTAAATTTCTAGAAATTGGAACACAACGGTAGATCTATTTTGTTCTGAACTAGCTACCACTTCATTACATAATTCCGAATAGAATGCAACACATCAATTAAATATAACATCACCGAGACATCCATCAACCTCTAAAGGCCAGAAAAGCTCCTAAATAACAGCTCCTTGACACTATAAGGCTCTCACATAACTTCAGTTTCAGCTTAAAATAAAGCAAATTCCATTCAACAACTGCAAACTTTTAAGGCATGCTTTGCAATATTGAGGGCAAGCAAATCTGGGTTCAACCGAGCTCAGATTCATACCATTTGAATTATTACAACTCATTTATAGCCTAAATAGACCGTGGTCCATTTAGTTTAAATTACTTGCACAAAACAAAAAGAAAACCGGGTCTTAAGAGTACGAATAGTCCCTGGGGTTCGCTGTATTTAAAATGGGATATGACTAACAAAAGCAATCATAAATGGTTCATGAAGTAACTGCTCTAAGCAACTATATAATCATTGATTGGTGACAATAATTATAGAAGAGATGTTTGGTGGGTGAAACAGTGAAACAAAGACAAACCGAGATAGCAACAATACGACGAATTACTCAGTTAAAGAATAACCCGGAAACTGGGCAATTATTGCATACAAATCAAAATAATCATTGAAGGACATGGGAAAAATTACCACATAAAAAGCATATAACATTAATAGAAAAACACAACTGGAAAACTTGAAATGATCAGTCATGGAATTAGAATAGGCCAACTTATCTTAAAACAAGATAAAAAGGAATAGGCCAAAAAGTCGAAGTGTCATAAAACTAAAAATCAAAGTTATATCAAGTCATGGAAATCAAAGCATAAATTAATCACATCTTTCGAAATAAACATTGCTGTAGATTTTAGAAACCAATTTTATAGGCTAATGGCATCAATGATCAAGCTATTATTTACAGATTTGAAGATCAAACATTCCCGAAAAAAGCTAATTGATATTTTAACTCTTGATACTTTCTCAAAGAAATTAAAGGCTATCCTACCTTCTCTAGCCTTACTTACCCGCTTCGACAATTAATCATATATTACTCATATTTTACAATTTCAACACAAAATTAATGGTAAATTAATTGAACAGAGAATTGACGTATTTCTTAATGCATACTATTTTCATTCAATATAAAGATAAATTCCAACTTTCAGAGATCTTATTGATAAAAAATAAACAAATTTTCAAATACGCAAGGAAATCGCTCAAATGGTATACAATCCATCAGTTTTCAGCAGAACTCATAAACAGAACAAGAACCAAAAATATATATAAAACAGGGTAAAATATTAATCATAGAAAACAAAACGTGCCCATTTAAAAAAAATCGATTAGCAACAACATCAACCTTGATTCTTTTTAAACGAAATGGAAAATACAATAGAACCAATAATCAATAACCCAGAAACTTATGAATCAAAACAACCTCATAAGCTCAAAAACCATTAAAAACAAGAGAAATCAAATCGAACGACAAAATTAAACCTTGTATCAACAAATTTAAACGAAAAATCAAAAAGATTTCAGAAACGAATACATACCGACATGAATTCTTGACAATGGGACTCTTTCGTGGGATGATAGAGAGAGAGAATAATACAGGGAGAGAAAATGGTAGCTCTTAGAGAGAAATAAAATGAAATTTTTAAGTGAGTAAATGTGAAAATCGGAGAGGAGGAAAAAAATATAATATATACGGAATATAGGATAAACGACGTTAATTTGGACGTTTAACGGAAAAGATAATAATGGAAAAAAGGCAGAGCCGGAACCAAGTGATGTCAGGATGTAAAAAGCTACTCGATTTGTAAAATTGATTAAAATCAAACTGTGGTGATTTGAAATTAACTCGAGTCTGAATTAGTGTTTATTTGAACGTAAGTTGGACTTAGAAATTGTAAATTTGAACTTGATTTATATTCGATCTGAGAATGATCTAAACTCGAATTGAATCGATAATATGATAAAGAACTCGATTAACTTTGACTGAAATGAACTCGAACTCGAGATTAACCTGATAAATAACTGATATTATCTGACTTGTTATTGAACTGGTATGATATTTATCTGAACTTAATATTTACCTAACTTATAAGTTACAATAGAGGAAGTTGTGAAATTTTAAATTTATAATAAATTACAATAACTAATATGATTACATTTTAAATGATAAAACAAATTGTTAGTTATGATAATTAAATTAATAAATTTACTTTCTATATTAACTACAATAGTTATATTATAAATCTTAATAATAATAAATAATTTTATTTTATTAAATAATTTAATTATTGAACATGATTTTATTAGAATGTATAAAATTAATTTAAATATTTATAAGTTTAATTATTTTTATGTAATAATTAATTAATAATTTAAATATAATTTATCTTAAAATTTTAAAATATATATAAAAGATGAATTTATTTATTTAAAATTTTAAAAGAAATATTGTTTTTTTAAGGGAAAATTGATTCTTAGAGGGAAAATTTATTAAAATACATATTGTTTTTTTGGGAAAATTGATTTTTTTTGGGAATTTAGAAGTGGTAATTTGTGAGATTGGTTCTAGTGTCCAATAAAATGTTTTGGTTTAATTAGGCCCACGCTCCTCCAACAATCAATGATTTTCTATTTTGTTAATTGATTTTTGATTTATTTCACTTCAGTCAATGCTTAATTGCAAATCTCTTATTGAATTTTCAATTCAATGCAATTTAATCATGTATACATTCTAATTCTAGTCTTTAAATTTGAATGTTAATTTTAGAATCTTTTATTTTAGTCATTTATGTTTAATGATATATAAGTATATACATAAGTATATATATATATATATATATATATATATATATATATATATATATATATATATATATATATATATATATATATATATATATAGTTGTGTATATGCTTATCTATACATATGCTTATGTATTATATATATTATATACTTTATATATATACTATAGTTTATATATCTTATAGTTTATGGTTTATATATATATAGTTATATACTTATACTATATATATATATATATATATATATATATATATATATATATATATATATACTTATATATTAATGTGATACGTTGAAACATACCATTAACTAAAATACCACTAACTAAATTATTTTTATTAAGTAAATATTAGAAAATTCAAGGACCGCTCCACGATTAATTCATTTTAAAATTTTAATTTTAATTTTAATTAGATTAATAACAGAGTAGTCCTTTAATTTTTCATATGTGTAAATTACATATTTAGTACCTAAACTATCACTTTTATTCCATTTTCGTACCTAAACTTTATTTTTTTAAAACTATATATAATGTTTGGTTTATGTTTCAATTTGATATCCACCGTTAAAAATTTAACGATAATGTTGACATGGCATGACAATGGATAATTTAGGTACTATGTGTAGTTTAGTCATAGGTGGTGATACTAATTGGTTCAATAAAATTATTTAAAAATATTGACGGAAAAGAAAAAGTGATGTAAAAAAAAAAAAAATTGACATGTCATGTCACATTAGCATTGTCGTTAAGTTTTTAACAGTAGGATATTGAATTGAAACTTAAACTAACCATTAGGTGTGATTTTGATAAAAATAAAGTTTATGTATTAAATCAAAGGCATAATGCCAAAATTAACCCCTCACCGTTTATTAAAATGATCATTTTGTCCCATATTCTACTTTTTGGAGCTTTTTGGCTACCCATATTTTATTTTAGGGCAATAAGACTCCTAACATTTATAGAATAATCACTTTGTCCTTTATTCTTTTTTTTTCTATGACATTTTAGCCTTCAACGTTTCATTTTAGATAAAAAAAAAGCTCATATTTTGGAGCGTTAGTCATGTGTTAACTAATAGTTTTTCATATATAGAGGGGACTTTTTGCCCCAAAGTGAAATGTTAGGGTCAAAATACTAAAAAAAACATGGGCCAAAAGGACTATTTTAGTAAACGTTGGGGGCTATTTTTGGTATTATACCTAAAATAAACAAAAGTGATGGTTTAAATTCTAAACGTGTAGTTTATCCTTTTAATAATTATTTAATAAGAATAATTTAGTTAGTGATATGTTTTAGTGTGTCATATTAGTGATTTTTTTCGCTATGCGACGTTCTCTGTATAATTTTTCTATCTTTAAATATTTAAATAAATGGATGAACGTAAAATTTTATGCTATTGGACGAACTTATAAATTTCAGGGAGCGAAAATGTATTTTCAATAAAAAATATACAACATAAACTAAAATATATGATAATTTTAAATTTACAATCAATTTAAATTTTATTAGGTATGAATTATTTTTTAGTGTATTCTGAATATGGTTGTGATTATTGTAACTATATTCTAATTTTGGAGGAATTAGATGCGATCATGCGAATGTCAATTCTGAGATGTTGATTAGTGGTATAAAAAAGATGATCACTATATGCAGTGGAAAAATGTTATAATTTAGTTTAATTAGTAGAAGATACACTAGATTCTCTCTCTATAATAGTCATAATTATTTTCCCGTAGATATTCGTCCTCTTTTCGAAATATTAGTTTAGTGGGCTGGTTTCAACTTGGTTTTATGTATTATTTATTATAAATATTCGAAATAATTGAAATTAATATATATATATATATATATAATTATAATTATAATTATAAAATCGACGTGAAAATTCAAAATTAAAATAATCAATAAAATTTGCCTTATAACTAAAAACCAGATTAATCGCTCAAAAAATGAAACAGATTAAATCAAATGAATTAATTTTTCAATTTAAATCGAAAATACTCCTTTTAGTCTTTTATATCAGGATTATTTTTAATTTAACATCTTAAATATACTTGTTTTTTTTATATCCTAAACTATTTTTTGACCCTTACAACATCATTTTTTAAACTTATCAAGTACATTATCATTTTTTTGAATTAATCATTGGTATCATTTTTTAATACTCCCTTACTTGTTCTAAATAGAAAGTTATCAATGAGAATATAACACATAACACATTACTATTGCATGCTAATAATTGGGAAAATTAAGACACAAATAATAGTTTGAGAGCGAATTGAAATAAATGTATAGTTTGAAGGATAAATTGAGATAAAAAAATAATTTAGGGTGAAAATTAAAAAAACAAATATATTTTAAGGGCTAAATTAATAATTAAACCTTCCTATTATTGACTCCTTTTATTTATTTTTTTTAACTAGGAATATGACACAAACTAAATGACCTAAGTGGTTAAAGAGGTGATTGCTATCTTTAGAGATTTAAGGTTTGAGTACGACTTCTGCGAGGTGTTTGACCGTTCAATATCAAATGATTAAAAATCTTTCAAACATATATTATTTTATAATCACTAACTTTGGAATCTAACACAATAGCTATACAATCAAGCATCATTCACTTTATATATTCTAACATACATATTAGAAGCTGGAAGAAGAGATAAGAAAGATTTACAATAAGACTTTAGCTGTGGATCACTTCCATAACATTTTTAAATTTAGGTAAATTACATATGTACTATTTAAATTAGGTTGGAGCAAAATTGGAAGCAATTTTCCTCTTTATCACCTGCCTCTTGCCCTTTTTTTTTCCTTATTAATTATTGTTCCTTACTTATTTCTTCCATTCCTTTTATTTGATGTAGCTTTGGTTGTTATCGAGTAACAAAATTATGCAATCTGGCGTCACAATTTTTAAGAATTGTGATATATTAATTTTTAAGGTATGCTTCCTCGTAAAGTTGATATTATATTCCTGAAATAAGAATTTAATTTGTGAATTTAAATTTAAATCTTAAATTTATTATTATTAAAACTGATAATCATGAATACTGAACATATAATGTAAAAAATAAAACTATATGCATGTATACTCTATTGAGCATATATATGTATATTAAGATTTTTATATATTTAAATCTATTTTATTTAAAAATATATTAAAATTAAACTTGATGGCGTACTATATATATATATATATATATATATTAATTTGAGGCTCACCTTCAAATAGGATCTCCCATGAATTATAGAAAACAAATTATTTCCCCATCATTTAAAAGTTTTAATAATTCATTTTCATAACATTCCCCATCATTTCCTCCGCCAAAATTTAAAGTAATTTGTGGGAATAGTTAGAGTTGATTATACGATAATATTTATTCATGAATTTTTTTAATCATTGATAATGCACTCACCCTACAGACACAATTATTAAAATCCGGGATCTCAAGAGATAACATCATTTTTTTTAATCACCGAAGTCAATCAATAATTTCAAGAAGAAAATTGTTAAAACAAAAAGAAATACAGTCAAAACAAAGAAAGGAATAGGATGGAAGATGAATTACTGTATGGGTTATTAAAATATATAAAGCTGCCTTAACTAATTTTTCAAATATTAATACCCATATTAATAATTAATGTGTCAAAAAAAATTGATTCCACAAAAAAAAGAGCCGAGTCTTTAGTGGAAACCCTAACAAATAATAATTAGGTTAAGTGGCTCCATCATCGGGGGGGAAAAACATAAACTAGAATGATTTGAATTGACTTGGAATGATTTTAATCTCTGCAATAATGGAGACCAAACCAACGCTCCTTGACAACTTCAGCGCCTACTTCCATTTCGTCGTTTACTACGAATTAGATTTCTGCCTTTCTTTTTTCTACTCCCTTGCCCATTGAGAAAAAAAGATAACCATACGAGTCATAATTAAATTTAAGTAAATTTTATGTAATATGTTTATATATTTTATTCATATTGAAATTTTAATTTACGTAGATGTAAACTCTTTTTAATGAATTAGAAATGTTAATTAACAAACAGTTGATCTAGTTGTATGAGGCACTAGGTTCCTAAGTAATGTTAGCGGTTCGAATCCTGGTGTTTGCGAATGGAGCAAACTGAGTTGTGAGGGTCTCCCTCGCCTTTGCAATACTCGATTTGAATTAGTCGGATTTGATACCAGTGATTAATTCAATAAAAAAAAAAAAGAAATGTTATATTCTCATGTTCTTATATCTAAATATAAAATCTAAAAATCTATCTGATACATATACTATAAAAAAATTTAGTTTAGGTAAATTTATCTATTTAAATCATTGAATGTCATGGGTTCCATTTATGACTTAAGATTTAAGTTTATAATTTAAAATCTAAGAGTTGAAGGTTAATATTTTAGATTTTAGATGGTAAGATTCAAATATATAAAATAGTGTAGACTTATAAAAAAAATTATTATCTAAATGTACAAGAAATGCCTTGCAACCCTCCAATAGCGTAAATGGAAAGTATTGTAATATTTTCCATGAATTGTAATTAAATGTTGTATACGTTAGGTTGAATTAAATGGAATTATATTTTTCCTTACTTCAAGATATTGTAATAATTAAATGGCCAAAACAAACAGGGAAACTTGTTTTGTTTCTTATTTGATTTTTCTGTTTTCTTTCAGAGATAAGGAATGCTCTACGAAAGAAAGAAGGAAATTGTCAAGGAAAAACGACGAGGGAGGAAAAATAAAGGAAAGAGAATGGGGAGCAGAATTGGTAATTTGCCAGGCATGCACCCACCCGTTTTAGATTGATTTTTAATTTTTAATTTTTTATATTTAAATAAAAAATATTTCAATTAATTTACAGAGACCAATTATTAAAATTTTCAAATCCAAATTGAATTAAAAATAATAAAATTTATTATGAAAATATTTTTTTTGAACTGAAAAATAAATGTTATTTTAAAAAAAATATAATTATTCAAACAATAAAATAAATTAAAGGGTTACTCAAGTTGGACCGAACCGCAGCTCGGCTCGGCTTGATCCATAGCAGTTGTTCAGTATTTTAGAAAATATTTGTGTTTGATATAATTAAAAAGAAGTTAAGATTTAATATATCTGCAAATAAATAATAACGTGTATTCTAATTCAAACGCATGGAAATTACGTGGAATATTAAAGTTCAATTACATGGAAAAAGAACATGCGTGATTGTCTATAAATGACTGCATTTTGTGTGGGAATATAGAACAGCAATTGTTGGGGTGCCAATTTCCCCCCAACGGTGCTCCAACATGTCTTCACGTTTCAACATTATCGATCGGATAAAAAATGGTAGAAATAAGTGGGGAACAAAATAAAGGGCAAAAGTCAAGAGGTAGAGGAAATCTGAAGCCTTTCACTTTTCCACGTTTTATTCAATGCCTTCACATTTTTCTCTAACTTGGGATTTTCCCCCCTTACATTTTTGTTCCTCACTTATTTCTTCCATTGTTTTATCTGATAGCTTTTTAATCTTATCAAGTAACAAAATCATGCAATCCAGCATCGGAATATTTTCTATTAAATTTTGTTCTTACAAACAATGTTATTAATATTATGTTTTGTATTTTAATTTAGAATTATTTGAAGTTTAAATGTTTACAATTTTAGATCAAGATTTATACTTTTAGTATTAATTTTACAAAATTTTAAATTAAAGTAACCAAGGAGGAGAGAACATATTTAATGGTCTGCTAGGGAAGATGATCCATCAAAATAAAAATAACGAGGGTAAATAGCTATGGAGATTTTTTAAAATATTTCTTTATTAAAATTATTTTTAAATATAAAATATTAAAGTTAATTTTATATTATGTTATTACTGAACAACAATTTTTTAAACAGACATAATAAATTATAAATTTATTATAAAAATAAATCTACAAATTTTTTTTTTTCATACTAGCTTAATCACATAAATAGAAAAAAGATATAGCTTGAAAACTTATTTTTATATTAAAACTAAATTATATAAAAGAAGAAATCCTCTGTAAAAACCATTTTTATTTTTGTTTTATCATTATTTTATTATAAAAAAAGTAATATGATATTGTAGTTATTGGGGGTTATTAATACCCCATCCAACCCTTGTAACATCACCTCTCCTTTCCCCGAAAATTTGGGAATGAAAGTCAGTTTCTTTGACTTTTCTCTCTCTACAAGATTGCTTTTCATTTTCCTTTCTTTTTTGCTTTCTGTCTTGGTTTTTGTTTCGGTTTGGGGAGGGGGGGTTCACGGGTTGTAGAGGGAGTGGCGCAGGCTCGTGGCCTAGCAGCGTCGGCTGTTGGTGGTCGGAGGTGAGTGCGTGGGGTCCTGAGTGGTGCCGTGGTCGAAAGGGGAGAGAGAGAGAGAAGAGTTTGATCACTTTGACCTTCGTTTTAGCCTCCCTCGGCTGGCTCGGTCGCCGGTAGGAGAAAGGGGTAGCCACCAAGATGTTGTGGCCAGCGTTGAGGCTCGGTTTGAGCCCTCTCAGCCGTCGAATGGGGAGGAGAAAGAGTGACTTTAGGAAGAGAATGTGTAGAGTTTTAGGCCGTTCAAGGTGGTCGGTCGGACCTCCTCCGGTCTCGTTCGAGGTCACCGGTGGGTGTATGTCGGTCACAGGCCCGGTGAGCGGTGGCCGAGGGAGTCGTTTGTGAAGCTTGCAGGTTTCGGTTGAGTTGCGTCAAATAGAAGAAATATTTTGGTTGTATGAAAATGGGTAAATCATGTATCAGGTCCCAGTTTTTAGGAGTTTTCTGTTTTGTTCACTTATTTTATAAGGTCAAATCGTAGTTCAGGTCCTCCCAGTTTCAGCATGTCTTGCATTTTGGTCACCATAAGGGTAAAATGACCTTTAAGCTCCCCGTATTTTAGTTTCTTTTGCACTCTGATTATATACTTTGTTATTTGTTTCTAATATGCATATTGATTTTATTAACTTTCGATTTAGTCATTATTTTTGTTATTTTATTTGTTATAATTTGGCTACTGTTATTTCATTTTATGCATTTTAGTCACTATGTTTTATTTCTAATTTGGCTACTGTTATTTTATTTCATACATTTTAGCCATTTTTATTTCTAATTTGGCTATTTTTTATTACATTTTGGTCTCTTATTTTTCAGCAATTTAATTCTAGTCCTTTAATTATTGCACTTAGTTTTTGTTTATCTTATTTTAGTCATATATATATATGCATGTTTCATATTTTTATCACATCGAACATCTTATTTTGCTATCTTGCATTCTGGTCCTTATGTTATTTATGATTTTATTGTATTTTAATTAAGCACTTATATTCGTGTAATACTTATTTTTGGGCCTTTCGTCATCTAGCATGATTAATATAATTTCGATTAATTGACTTAACTTTTTATTTGGTCGAATCAAATTATCTTGATATCAAGTTCTTGGGAGAAATTATTATATTCTTTTCATTTCAATTGAAAATAAAAATATTCGTCTTAAAGTATTTTAAGATTATTTTCTTTTCGATTGGAAATATTGAAATATTTTTTATTTCTCCTTAGAATTTTCCGTTAATAAAAATTGTATGGTTGAATTTGAAATAACATGATCGTAACTTAAATTTGTATTTGAATTTTTAGATTTCCATTATTAGAGACAATTTATAATCGATGGGTATCAATTTTGGGCGTTGTGGGGTGTTTATCATTCGATACACGTAATCAATCTTCAAACCCCTTTTTTATTACAAAAAAGAATGAATATCTGATTACTCGTAGATTGATTTATCTTTTAAAATGACGTTTTCTTAAAGATTCCTTTAAAAAGTGGTTTATAGGTATTCAACCTACCTATCTTAAAAGATCGATCACATTTCAAAACCTTTTTATGCCATCTCCTATATTTTAATTAACTTACAAGAAAAGCTAATGAAAGGGAAAAAAGAAAGATAATTTGCAACAATTTAAGAAGTAAATTATAAGACATAAACAGTCTTCAAAACAACAGAAAATCACAAATAATTTTGAAGGATATCAAACGAAACCAGCACTGAAGAGTTGGTGTACTAATAACTACATAAGCAAATACATGATAACCAGCATTCCTCCGAGAGCCGTCATGAAATAAGATGCAACCGTCTGTTTGATGGTCGAATTATGCGGCGGCGGCCCCCAAATCGAGGCCCAACCATCCCCATTATCGTTGGATCCATCGTCTTCCATAGGCGACTGTGCTGGCTGAGGAGAGCTGATCGCAGCCGCAGGGTGCACCATTACTCGAACGATCAGTTTCTGACCAGCTTTGCAGTGACCACTCTCTCCACTGATGAAGTAGAATAACCCATACCGATCGAACTCGAAAACCGTCTCACCGTCTTTAAACTTAAAGGTCGGATTTGCAACACTGCAGTCAGTGTAGCTTGTGCGGTTCACCACCAACACCGAGTCAATGTTGTACTTGAAATCTAACAAAATACATAAACAAACATAAGCAAAACTATACGTATATATGTATGTATATGTACGTAGTAAACTTACAAAGAGAATCCCCAACGTGAAAGCGGTTCCTGGAGGCCCATTCGTTGTAAGGTTCGGAGTTGTTTCCAATTGGTTTAGTCCAACCTTTGTCGCCACCAACTTTGAACTGAACAGAAGCAGTGGCGACGGCGACCGTGGAGATGAAAACCAGAGAAAACATAGAAAAATTGCAGAGTTTTTGAAGAGAAAATGAAGCCATTTGAGCTGCTGCTAGATAGAAGCAGGGTGAAAAGCAAGGACTTTTTTTTTTTTTTGTAAAGTTCCGAAATTTATAATGGCATTGCAAAAGTGGGTGGTGGCATGGTAGTTATGTTAGTTACCTTTGCTGCGTGAGGTTGATTAGTGGGGTTGTACAGTTAATTGATGACCTGATAGTCCCACTCCCACGTAGTTTATGAACTTGGACTTGGTCTATTGTTATCCCCTGGGTTCAACTTCGCTGTATGATCGGTTTACTCAACGGCCGTGATCATCGTGTTTTTTGTTGATCAATCTGATAAGAGAATAGAGATGCAAGCCATGACAGTTTTACTATCATATAAAAACCTCACGTAAGAGTAATAGTTCTGTTTAAAAAAAAAAAAACTCTCTTCTGTTCTTTAATCCAAATCATAGAACTTCAATATGCCTCCTGGATTTTTCAAAGCAGCCAATGTAATTGAAGGGAAATTAGAAGAATTTATTGACATAAAGAAATGAGACATTGTCATTATTTTATTTTTCTCCCTATGGCTGCTACTGCACTTCTTCCACATTCTGATATCATTTCGTATGTGTTTGACATCATGAACAAGGATGGTTGATCGGGGGAAAAAATATCAGAGATATCAGACGACAGTTGCTGAAGGCGATTGCAAAAATTTAAAAATCAAATTAAAAATTGTTTTTTACATTTTAAATTAAAAAATATAATAAAACAATAATTCAAATGCTGAATACAAGCTCAAATAACTTGCATGAAGCCGGTGACAATATATTCTCTCAAAATTTACTCGGGAGAACATAAACGCAGGAACATGGGCGGTGCAACTGTCCACCTGCTATAGCCGGTCAAAAACCATCCATAATTAATATGTGAGATTCCTTCTAATTTTTCCAAAGGGAGAAAATTTCAGAAACGGTCGGTCAAAGGTAAAACCTACAATAAATATGGGATACTGAATGAGTCCCACAAACTACCAAATTCATTACTCTGTCTTTGGCGGACCACACTCCCAACCTCCAAAATTTTCTTTTCTTTTATCCAACATATTCAATCAAATCAATTTCTCCTTCTAAATAATATTTTCTAATTATTATTTATCCAAATCAATCAATTTTTTATTTGTTTACAAAAATAAATTATTATAACGTATCAATTGAATAATTAATTCAATTCAAATCTATCTATGCCCATTGGCATTTTGTTAACAGTTTTTATTCAAAATAATGTTTGCTGGTTAGAGTACGTTGCTTGAATAATCTGATAATCTATGTTTTAGAGACTACTTTTAACAGTCAGTAGGCGGTCATAGTCATGCATTACTGGTTTTAGCCGGTGACCCTGTTAGTATATAAGGCGGGGCTTGGCTTGTTGTTTATGGCACAGTGGTTTCGAATTAGCTTACTCTTCTCTTATTTTTGTCTTTAGTTTTAAAAAAAAATCTCTTATTTTTGGCGAATTATTCTTTTTTGTTTCCCTAATATTTCTTTTCTTTGTATAAATAGTTTATTTTAAAAATCAATTAATGTTTTTTCTTCTTCTTGTTTTCTAATGCTTTTTTCATAGAGATCATCTACAAGGTATTTCAATGATTTATACATATTTAACCTAAGACACCTAATACGGAAATAAAATCTTTTGTTGTTTTTCCCTAAGAAAACTAAACAAATACTCTTCATTTTTCTTATATATCATGATCTATAATATATAGTTAGATGGATTTTGTGGGGGAGAAAAGACTTTGCAGCTAAGTTTTTCTGGGTGAGTCGCAATAGTTGTAGACTTTTTTTCTTACTAATTTGCTAATATGTTGATGAATGGATCATTAGTTTGCAAGCATACGCATACGTATATTACTATACGGTTAATGTTAAACCTTTTCTCCCATATTAATTAAGATTCTGATGTTATATGTGTTTGTGTGTGTGTGTGTGTGTGAAAGTGTAGCAGATGATGAGGTGAATGCATGCATGGTGGAAGAATGGGAAGATGAGCATGTTGACAGAAGAGAGAGAGCACAACCCAGGATTTGCAAAACGATAGTGCTTGCTTTTGTTGGGAGTGTGCCTTCTCTTCTTCTGTCACCATATTTCCTTCAACTCTCTTATGTTCCCAGCGGTATCATCCTTTAAACTTCGCATCCGAATCATATGATCATCTGCTGTAATTTCTTCAAACCCTTCTCTTATATTTGTTTATACACACAACCATATATATATATATACACGCACACGAAAGAAAAAATGACAGAAGGCATTTTAGCAAAAGAATTGAAAAGTTTAAGCTTAGAGAGAGATGGGAATGGAACTGGGCTTTTTGAGATTCTTTCTAGCGTGATACAAACCATTGGATTATTTTGAAAAAATTGAATATATATATATGTACCTTGCTTTGATCAGTACATCAATGTTACCTGATATATACCTTATAATGTGTTACTCGGGTGAAAGAGTCTGTTCAATTTCTTTATCAAAATTTTAATGTATTTAGATGGTTGATAGTTAATGTTCCACTGACGTTACCCTATATAATATACAAGGATGGTTTCTTTGTACCATCGGTGAAAATTCTCAACTCACAAAACCTATTTGACAATAGGCTTTACCCATCCCTAAAAGAATACCAGCAAATATTCTTCATTGTATTATTTCTTGTTAGTTGAAAGTACATGAAACTGAAACATAGTCTAAACACTTTTATTTTCTTCTCTTTGTTTGTGATGAGGAATTGGAAGGAGCTGTCATCAAGTAAGGATCATTCAAAACCATGATTCAAACCAGTTTAGATCGAACATCAATGCCTCTGATGGCTGAGATTTATCACATGAGAAGCTGAGACAAACCTCTGCTGGGGAAAAGAACATTCCCTGTTTGTTTAGCCTTTCCATACATCAAACAAAAGATCTGTACTTGAAGCTCTTTAGCAGAGATTTTAAATTCTGAAGAAATTGGATTAGCTTGAGTTGTTTGAGATTTGTAAACTGATATCTGCATAAACGCGCTTAGTTTGAATAGATTCTTCCACTTGTTTCATTATCTTTTTCCATAAAAACATGTAAGTTGCTTTCCAGGGTTTTGCATAGAACTGGTAAGAAATCTAAAAGTAGAAGTTTCAGGAAAATATCTGTCTGGGGTAACTTACTCTTCCCACATGATGATTTAATGTACCAACGTTGTATTAAATACCATGTTACTTTAGTCACTATTTCCGGTGAGAATCACTCAGCGTTTTCAGTGTACATTAGGACCAGAAATGTTGCATTGCCGATATGGAGAATTAAAGAGCAAATCTCAAAATTTTGGAAGTGTATATTCAGATTACAGCAGAGACCACAGGGTTCAATACATTACTTTTGAACTCGCACTAACTCATTACCAAAAAATTTATCAAGTACTATTATAATGATGGTATAAGAAGGAATGAAGGAATTAAACAATCAATGAATTTTGTGTACGAGAAAATGAAATCCAACTCTATATGATCAAGGCTTGAACCCTGGGTGGCCTCTCAAGCTGTTGTTTTGCTTTCTTCATCATCTGAAACAATGTCCTCAACAGTTAAGCTACAAGAGAAAGTAAGACTCGGTTTCATCTTTGGCACGACTGTTGGATCTGCCTCGTTGTTGAGAATCTGAAGGACTCGCCTGATGGAAGGCCTCTCAGCACTATCGGGGTGTGCACAGCTCAAACCCACCAGCAATAACTTCCTCATTTCTTCCTCCTTGAAATCTCCATTCAACCTTTTATCGGCAGCTTCAATGATCCTTCCCTCACCAAACAAGCCCCACACCCAGTCAACCAAATTCACCATTTTCTGGCTGTTTAGTCCCCCTTCCCTCTCGATCGGCCTTCTGCCGCAAGCTACTTCGAGAATTACGACACCGTAGCTGAAAACATCAGTTTTCTCAGTTGCTTTCCCGTACTGAAGATACTCAGGGGCAAGGTAGCCCATAGTTCCTGCAGTGAGTGTTGAAACTGGACTCTTGTCATGATCCATCAACCTTGCCAAACCAAAATCACCAAGCCTTGGGTTAAAGTTAGCATCGAGCATTATATTACTCGTCTTTATGTCTCTGTGAATGACTTGTTGCTCACATTCTTGGTGCAGGTAAGCCAAAACAGAGGCCAATCCAATAGCAATATTTTGCCTATGGGACCATGTTAACAATATGCCATTCGCAGGGTCTTGATGAAGCACTGTATCGAGGCTTCCATTAGTCATAAACTCGTAAACAAGCAACAATTCACCTTTCTCGGCACACCAACCTTGTAGCTGAACCAGATTTTTGTGCCTCAAACAAGCTATAATGGACAATTCAGCTAGGAACTCAGTTTTACCTTCGCGGGAGTGTTTCGATTTTTTCACCGCACTAACAGACGCCGAAGAAGCAAATACGGCTTTATACACATTTCCAAACGCACCACGCCCTATGATTCTACTGGAGTGAAACCCTCTTGTCGCTGCATACAGTTCTTTGTAACTAAACTCCCTAGGCCCTGCCAAAATCTCAGCTTTGAGATTCTTCTGTACCCTCGTATCCTTCCATTTCTTCACAGAAACATAACCAAAAACAGCAAGAACCACGAAAAAGAAAGCCGGACCAGCAATCCCGAGTCCAAAACCGAGCCTCCTGTGGTGTTTATTGGAAGTATTTGATGCAGGAACAGTAGGTATTATTGTGACTGAACTACCAGATACATTATGAGGATGCGATTTTGGTCTCACAGGAAGGAAACCAAAAGTTTTGAAACTCCAATTCTCAATCGTATGAATTGATGTACTCCCTTCGGTTGAAGCCGAGAACCCAACAAAGACATACGTTTTAAGGTAACCAGACAAATCAATATCCACAGACAACAATGGTGTCGGAGGCTTCACAGTCGAATAACTCAAGAAAACATTCAAGGCCCTCAAATCATTCTTGTAAACAATCCAAGCAGTTATCAAATTCCCACTCTTTAAATCAACGTCTTGCAACAATGCATCAGCGGCCTCGATTGAATTAAGCGAGTTGATATCCAAACCGACATGGTTTTCATTCGAATCACTGAATCGAGTATCGAGCTTGGTATCGAACTCAACGGCTAAAAACTTGTTCTTGGCCAAATCTGAAGAGTTAGCAAGACCGAGATACCCACCTGGACTCCCGAGGGTTTGGTTATCAGGCGAAAGAAAGAACGTTAAGCCGTCGCCGTAAGAGCTTAGATCGTCGCAGCTGATGGAAAAAGAGAAACTCGTGGAGAAAGAAGCCGTGATATTGGATTCTTGATCGAAGAAACGAATTGGGTAGTTGTAGATGAGGCTACCTGAGCTTGAAGAAGGCACGTCAGTTTCCCTGGTTAGGCCTATGACACCACTTTTAAGATGGGAATCGCCGAGGAGAGTGAGGTTCATGGCAGTAAAGAATGGGAAATTGAAGCTTGTGGTTTCAGCTGAGATTAGAAATGGGGAATCGAATGTGAAGAGAAGATAAACAAGAAACAGCAAGAAAACAAGAAGGTTTCTTGGTAGCATTGCTTTTGATTTTGATATAAGATTCTGTGATTGGAGATTCAATATTACCCAAAGTCCCGAATCGGTGCTAAGTTACAGTTACAAACAGTGTTCAAATTTTCTTTCGCAAAGGGATATTAAATGAGAAATGGAGTAAAAGAGGGGGGAATGTGGTTTAAAGAGTTGGAAAATAGGCGCCTGAGGATGTTTGAAGAAAAAGATCAAAATAAAAAGGGTAAAGTGCACAAAGGGTCACTAAACTATACTTAAATATTATTTTAGTCACTGAAGTTTCATATGTTATCAAATGATCATTAAACTTTTCAAACTGTTATAAAATAATAACTAGAACTTATCATATTATTATAAAATGATCCTTAAACTTATCAAAATTAATCATTGTTTTTTAATAATCCAATAAATCTCATGATTATTTTATAATTTCAAAAACTTTGATGACCAAAAATCATTTTAGTATAATTTATTGATCATTTGTGCACTTAACCCAAAAGAAAATAAAGTGGAATCATATATTTTGGAACTTTTCTTTCTAAAAGTTTAATAGATGGAAATATAACGGTTAGATCGAAGATGATTGGATTTGGTCATGGTCAAAACGCTTTAGTTTTAGGTAATTAAAAGCAATAAGATGGTCGGGACAGAGATGACAATGAGACGAGAGATCCTAAGTTTGATTTTGTATCTATCTTTATTTTTTTTCCAAAAGTGACCGTTTTAAAGGTGGGTGGAGCGTAGAATTGGTAATATTAGTTATTTGACGAAACATATTTTTATATTAAAAATAGTAAACATGATTACAATATTAAAAAATATATTAACATACAAAAATCATATTATAAAACTATGGATTATTATTAATTAACGTAAGACAAACCATGTGAATGATTCCCTTATTCAAAAAAAAAGTTCAGATTCTGACCCAATGCTGTCACTAATATAAAAATTGATGGCATATTGAATTGCATGCTGAATCTTGTATACAAAAAACAACAAATTTGCTATTGACACCATCTGCATGTAAATTAGCTCAATCAACAAACTAAATTTCAAACAATACTTGCTCAAATTTCAAAACTGGCTACTTCATATAACCGTTGCAGGAATAGAAAATTTGCACCCCAATAATGGCCACTCGTACAGACAATTTGGATTAGTGCTACTGTCCAATAGTATTACTTCGAAAAGAAAAAAAAAAGCGAAGACCATCCAATAGTAAAGACCGAAATGCTTTTTCTTTATATGAACACGCAATAAAAATATAATGGAAGGGCATCAGCCAACGAACGGGGGCAAAAGTGCCCAAATAACGACGTGGGAATTTTTAATTCCCAAAGTAATGTACTCGATTAATTTTTATATAGGGTGTTTTTTACAGGATTTTGGGATCTTTCGGTGTCTTCAGGGGTGGACCAGATTTCTCGACGTCTTTGGGTGAATTCAATTGCGGAAATCCTCGCGTCTTTAACATTTAAAAAAAAAGTTGGCATTTTTACACAAATATCACCTTAACAGAAATTAATTACTTGTTAGGCACTGTTTAAAAATATTTTACAGATCTACATATTTTAAATACTTTCTATAAAATTATTCATGCATTAAATTACACAATATAATTATGTCTACCAATTACTACTTGACATTTTCTGATGCGTTTTTGACCCTTTCAAAATCCTATACGTATAGTATATTCTAGGATTTTGAAAAATAATTTTGCAGAAATGCGTGACACATTCACCGCATAGGATTTTGAAAAATAAATATTAGTTATAAAATTTTTATAAATATTTTCAAAATCCTATGCGGTACATGTACCGCGTCTTTCTGCAAAATTATTTTCAAAATGATGATGATTTGTAATATTTTATAAAATTATTTATATTTTAAATTACTTACCCTCAAAGTTTCCTAGAATATACTATACGTATAGGATTTTGAAATGGTCAAAAACGTATCAGAAAATGTCAAGTGGTAATTGGTAGATATAATTGTATTATGTAATTTTATAGAAAGTATTTAAAAATATGCTAGATCATAAAATATTCTTAAACAGTGACTAACAAATAATTAATTTTTATTAAGGTGATATTTGTGTAAAATAGCCAAATTTTTTTCATGGAATCCCAGACGCCTAGAAATTCATCTAACAATGAACACCCCGAAGACACCGAGAGATCTTAAACTCTATAAAAAAAACACCCTATATCATGAATTAATAGGGTGAATACGTTACTTTTAGAATTAAAAATTCTCACATCATTATTTAGGCACTTTTGCAAACGGGGATAGAGGGAATCTGTTAGCTAAGACCTCTAAAATTTAAGTGCATATCAACTTAAAATAATTGTACTACAATTAATCGTAGTTTGAAATTATCTAGGGTTCATAAAAATATTACATGAAACCCACACTATCGATTATCAGTTAGAATAATTGTAACTACAATTAACCAATCATAATTTAAAATTATGTAGAGCTCATCAAAACAGTACATAGAGCCTACACCGAAGTAATTTAAATATGACTGAATTATTACAATATTATGAACAATTAATAGAAATGCTCCCTTAAATTAGGTGTGTTACCTGGTGATTAGGGAGTGAAATCGTACAAAATGTCATTTTTGATCTACTTGTTTGCAGCTTCAATGGCTGGGTTATTGACTTCATATTGATATTATATCACTAAACACGAAACAGTACTAGAAATTAGATAGCATCCATTAAAATTTTCAACTTGGAGTTTCAGAGATCATCTTCTTCTTACTCTTCCAAAATGTCTCTCCATTCAACCTGCCACAAAAGACCAATAGGAGTGAGAATTTAAAAAACATTTTTCATACATCAAATTCATAATACCCTTGCTTCAGGGGTGAGCATTTCTCGATTTAAACCGAAAAATCAACCCCCCTCAATTATTTCAGTTCAAATTTTGACAGTTTGATCAGTTTTCGATTATGGGATAGGTTTTGTAGGTTATTTCAATATTCACCAGAAAAATGAGATAAATATATTTATAATATATAATAACTTAAGCGGGTTAAATCAATATTCACCTAAAAAATGAAATGAAAATAAATTTGAGCTTGGTAAGAAAGAAAAGTGAAGAGAAAGAAAGAAGAGATGATTATTTTCTATCATATGTCAAAATAAATCAATTTATGTTGGAGAGAAAATGTGAGAGAGATGTGAATTAGTTCAAATCATTTTTTTCAAAGCTTAATTTCTTTCTCTACCAAGCAATGAATAAAAAGAAAAATATATTCTTTCATTTTTCCATTCTTCCTACCAAGTACAACAATGAAAAAAAAAAATATGCCCTTTTCTATCTATTTAGTTTTACATCCTTCCAATTTTATTTACCCCCTACCATGAAAAGCCTTAGCCATGAAGAAAACTAGAATGGATCAAGGAAAAATACCTAGGGTGTTTGGTTTTCACAAAGTGCTAGCTGCCTCAAGAGCATGATATTTAGTCCAATAAAGTTACCAATGCCAATGAAACTGAAGAGATAGTGTACCTTTATAATCATGCAAAAGCTATCTTTAAGTTGGCAGAAGATGCTATGCTTTTCAATATCGTACCATCCAATTTAATTTGCACCGTTTTGCTGGAATTTTCTTGGCAAGAGAACTGCGTATGAGAATAACTGTTAGTCCAACAGCAAACAACATAGGACAAGATTTTACAGTTGGTAAAAAATCACCTTGAGAAATGCTGCAAAAGCTTTCTGGGGGAAATATTGCTTCTGGATTTACATTTTGCTGGGAAACAATAGCCAGAGCCACACGATTTTTACTGCAAATTTACCAAGAGTCAAACGCTAATTCTCAGAACATCTTAAGATGGAATTGAGTACCTACCTGTTTTCAGAATGATAAAACTGAGTCACATACCTGGCCCATGAAGGAACAAATTTTCTATTAGGTTCATTTTCATCGTCATCATCTTCTTCTTCATCATCAGAACCTTTGTATGGAGAAATATCATATGATTGTTCAATATTTACGTCTGCATTTTGGTTATCACTCCCTTTTACTCTATTCAAGGTGCTCATTACCTGACAAGATTCAATGTCCACATGAGGCTTTAATGAAAAAAATATTTAACCATGCAATTAGTAGAAGAAACATCCAGGAATGGTTTCAGTTAAACCAGTATCAATATAGAAAAGCACACAAGCCTCGTATAGAAAATAGAAAGCCTCTTTAGTCTTCAAGATTTTGCAAAGATAGCAACAAAGATGTCTAAGTAATGCAAAACAATCCATTTAAAGGTCTTTATACTGATTTTGAAGTTCCATTCAATCAGTTTTTTTTTTACCACCCATTGTAGCATAGATGACCTCTCCTTATGTTGCAATTACAAAAGAAAATCTCATTGCAGTTGCTTTTTTCCCCCACATGTTTTACCCTCTCGACGCAAACTGAGAGTACTTAAGCACATGATCTATGCATAAGACATAACATTGTCCTTACAAACAGCCTTCAAAGATGGTTAGCGGAAAAGAGAATGTACTTAGTTTAATATAGCAGTAATACTAAGAGGAAACCTTAAAGTTCCTTTTATTTAAGCCAAAGAGGAGATAATTTCTTGAGGGTAGATGAATTTCCAAAATTAATTATCCGAATCTGTTAACTGAAATTTACCTTCGCATTAAAATCTTCACTGGCCGTGCTGGTTTTTACGGCATCAGAAGTTGAAGAAACAACTGTGCCAAATTCCCTAGTCGACATTTTTCCTTCACTTGCTACTACTGCTTTTTGCATTTTCTCGTGCTTCAATGCTTCACTGTTAGGAACCTTCAATGTTTGTGATCTCTCAGCCTAAAGCAGACATCAGAGTTAATTCCATTTTGCAGAAAATAAGTTCTAAAAACAAGACATAGTTTACAGCATAAGGAAGCATACCTGGGCTTGGGAATTCTTTTCATTCTCATCCTTCTTTGAACATAATTTTTCTTCAGGGCCACGCTGCTGTCTCCGTGCTTCTTCCAGGCGCTTTCTTTTTCTTTCTTTCTCCAACCTTTCTTCTTCCTCCCTCTGTCGTTTCTTAGCGGCCATACTGGCCTCTTTTTTCTTTCGTTCTTCTTCTTTCCTTTTCTTCTCGAGCTCCAACTGCCTCAAGTTTTCTAGCTCCAACCTCGCCCGTTCAAGTTTCAACGCCTCCTTCTTCATCTTGCGTTCATTTTCTTTTTGTTCCGCAAGTTTCTTTGCAGCTTCAGCAGCCTCCAGAGCCTTCACTTTAACATCCCTTTTCCCTAAAAGGAATTACAAACAACTTAAAGCATCTGCATAATCTATAGGTAACACAAGTTTTCGTAAAATGCTAGGGAGAAATGACAGGAAAAAAATGGCTGCAGAAGAAATGAGTAAATAATTACCAGTTGCAATGGAAGCTGCTTGTTTTTGCTGAGCGATAGGAATAAACGAAGTGACATTTGAAACTATATTATTGATCTTTGACTCCTTTTGAGAGAAACTTGGCCCACCTTTTCTTTGATTGGTTTTCTCAGATAGTTTTGGTTTACTGAACCTATTACGAAGTGATTCACTTGCCCTTTTGGTAGAATTTGCCACTGATACTATACTGCAGTTTTCTCTCAACTTAATTGTATCTCTCCTCTTTGTAGCATTGTGTTTTCGAACCTTTTGCTTGGTCCCCTTCTCAGTCCCAATGAAGCTGTAGGCTGTGTTCACAGAGTCCAGGCTATCTCTAACATTAAAATTTTCAGCTCCAGAAACTGATGAAGGAACATTGGGACATTCCCTAATCTCAGTAAGTGGTTCCCTTTTGGAAGAGAAAGTCACTGTTTTTGAAGCAGTGGCTTCCTGAAATGCATCAACCACCTCTTCCGTGATCTCATGTTCTTCGTTAATGCAGGGCAGCTCTGGCTTTAGGCTACCTCGCTTCTCTGAACTGTCAGAGTTTGATGTGATTCTATCCCAGAACTTGCCAACTGGAGAAAGATAGGGATTTCTCTCATTTCCAGTAAGCTGAGAACTAGATAATGGAAAGCAATCAGAAAAGCCTTCTCCAAGAAATGCACGATTTGTTTCCTCTCCAAAGCAACTACTGCTGATTTTAAGGTGACTTTTTCTATCATCATTTTCGGGAAGAGTGCTCCTCAGGTCCATGCATTCTAGAAGTCCATTAGGAACAGACTGATAAAGACCAGTCGCACGGTTTGTTTCCTCACCAAAGCAACTAGAGCTCCTCAGGTCCGTGCATTCTAGAAGTCCATTCGGAACAGATTGGTAAAGACCAGTTGCTTGGTGCAATCTATACGTGGATGGAAATTGGGGCAATGGGGTACGAATACAAGCAGATTTGCAAAGCTGCTCCAGAAGGCTAACACGTCCTATTGTAGTATTTGGAAGGTGAAAATTTTCAAAGCTAATGCCTTCTTCGCCATTGCATATTCGTTCACCGTCTGTCTTAATAATAAACCCCTCTAGTTCTGGTTTACTTTGATCTGCGCCGATCAAGTCTGAAGGGAGTCGACAAGGAGAACTGATGAGAGAAGTTGAAAACTTACCATCTTCTCCTAGTTGACATTTGCTTTCTTTGTTGCTCCTTTCACCGTAAGCCAAATGGTCGATATTTTCAAATTCAGATTTAGCCCCAACATTCAATACGATTTTGTTCTCATCTGCAGTGCATTTCCTTGTTGAACCAAACATGAAGCTCGATGAATCTACCGCTCCTGTTCTGTCCACTGAGTGATCAAGGGTATCTATGGGCAAACTTGGGACAGAAGCCACATCAAATTGGTTATGCATAAAAGTGGAAGGGATGTCCCTTTCTTTTCGATTATATTTCCCCTGGCAACATAAAAAATAAGACATCAACTTTACAGATCCTTTGCCCCTAACTTTATTTTTTTCCACATGGGATAACCTCTACAGAGGTATTATTCTCATTGAAAGAAACAATTAACTTTAGCTTAATCAATTGTTTTGTACATAAAATTGAGTTGAAGTGTAAGCACTCTTATAGCAGGAAAAGAGGTATAAGACATCCCTAGCTCATGGGAAGTCATAGGTATTAATATAACAAGGAGTTAATCTAGAGGAAATTTCCGTTCCACCTATAATGTAGCATACCTCATTTTGTTCTTCATCAACTAAAGACTTAGCACTTAATTGCTTTGCATCTTCTTCCTGAAAAATAAAAGTTCTTAGATTTTGAATATGCTTAGGATTATATTGTACAAAACTAACCAGTAAATAAATTCAAGTTCTTTACCTTCAAGCTTAATGAAAAAGACGGGGAATTATTTTGTTGATCATCAATTTTCCTCCGCTTACGTGGCCATGAACCCTCCACATGGGGGCTAGAATGTTTACCTTGTTGTATGGACAGAACTGAAACCTTCTTGTCACTTGATTTTGCATGTGTTTGATCAAGAACAGAATCAACGTCACCAGCAATACATCTTCCCGTTGTAGCTTCATTTTGAATTTGAGAAGGACTTGACTCCATCTTCTCTTTCAGAGAATGACCCTTTGTTTCTTCAAATACAGCAGCAGCATTAGAATACCCAATTGCATCATTGGAAGTTGCATCTGCTACCCTTGGCAGGGGAGGGCTACAAATCGCAGGACCACTACATAAATCAGTATTAAGATTATGATCACTAGCTTCCGGAACCAACATTACAGATTTTACTGCAACCTTCCCCCAATCCTTCTCAAAGAGATGATCTATCCCTGAATCAACATTTATATTGGATCCTGCAACATCCTGTAGCAAATTTTCATGCAAAGCATCAAAAGAAACTCTAAAGGTAGTTGAAAATTTTCCAAGAAAGTTTCCTGTACAGAAATCTCATTGCTTTCAGGCACAGAACTTGTTACAGCACCCGTACCAGCATCAGGTGTGTGTTTTTCTGAGGAGAAAACAATTAAATTGGAAGTTCTACCAGCAGATGTCTTGCTAAAAGCTGTTTCAGACAGTTTCTCCTCATTGCAGAAAGGTTCTTGCTCCTCTGGCAACTGCTTTTCATGGGATGAGTTGTGTTTTTCTTGGTGGTGAGCAGAAGTTACTTCATCCAGATTATCTGCACAAGGAAGTGGTGTAAGAGAACTTTTCTCCAATGAGTTGATCATGTTTTCACTCTTCAACATTAGACTAGAAGCTTCCTTCAGAGTGCACTCCCCCAAATCATCAAAATCAAGTTGCTTGGGCAACACCTTCATAGCAGATGAAGATTGTGAAAATTTTCCGGTGGCTTCCACCTCAACTCTTCCATACCTATTCAATGACTTGATAAGAGAAGGATTGTTACCACCATCCAAGTTAGAGGCAGAACTAGCTGATGCCTCAACTAACTCAACAGAATCCTCATCAGTGTCTGCAACAAATGCATCACATTGATTCAATTCAGCAAGAGCACTACCATCAATACAAGGCAAGTAATCTACTTGAGTGCCAGAAATTTCCATATGTCCAACATCTTTATACCTCACAGATGACTTTTTACATAGGAGCTGGTTGGAAGCTGTTGACTTGGATTGTGTAACTTTATTCTCCAGAGTATTAGAGGAATCAAGTTTAAACAACTTTGCACTAGAATTAGCTTTTGACCTGATACTACCATCATTATTTTTATCCACAACAGCTTTCTCCAATGTTTGGTTATGACTTTTGACCTTTACCTCAAAACTTTCTTTGGTGATATTGAAAGGCTTAATCAACTCATTAAGATCATTAACATGGCAGGGACGCTTCATTGATTTGCAAATGCCATCATTGATGTTCCTATCAGGACAACTATACGGCTTCAAATTTTCATTTACAATGTTATGGTGTAGGCTAGAACTTCTGGATCTTGTTAATCTTCCTTGATAAACATTGCTTTCCTTTCCTTGCTCCGGTGGTCTCTTGCTTCCATTGAAACACATGTTTCATCAGAGATAGGAGTAGGCTTTACCAATGCCAATAACTTATCAACAGCACTAGGCTGTTCTTTTGATCTGCTGATGCTTTCTAGAAGCATATTGTTATCACATTTTGCAACTTTAGAAGTTTTGCCTGCACATGAAAGCCCATTTACAGACTTGGGAGATCGGTCAGAATTTCTAGATCTTGTGACCCTACCAGAATAAATATTTCCTCCCTTTTCCTTGCTTTGGTATTGATCTCGTTCATCCTTTGCTGCTACACAGGTACCAGCATTATCAACTGGCTTTACAGATTGCAATAATTCATCAGCAGCATCAGGCTGTAGTCCTGATTTGTTAATGGATTCTGTGAGCAAAATATCATCCTGCTTTGCAACGCAAAAGCTCATATCTGGACTTGGAGGACTACTTGCAGAAATTGGAGGATGAACAGTTCTTGACTTTGTGATACTACCGGGGCAAATATCTTCACCCCTTCCCTGGCTCCAACATTGACCTCTTTCTTCATTTTTCACTACAAAGCTTTCAGTATTATCAACAGGTTCAACAAATTCTGACTCCAATAACTCATGATTAACAACATGCTGTTCTCCTGATTTGCATATGGATACCCTAGGTACCACCTCATCCTGCTTAGCAACATGAGAAGTGTTGCCTGCACCTGAAGGCCCACTGTGGGACTTCGAAGGTTGGACAGAACTTCTTGATCTTGTGATTCTATCGGAGTAAAAATTTCCACTTCTTTCCTTGCTCCTGTATTGCCCTTTTTCTTCCTTTTCCCCCTCATAACTCACAACATCGTCACCAGCTCTGATCAATTCCATCTTATCCACAGGACCAGACTGTAAAGATGCAATCTTGGACACTTTGTTTTGACAATTGCAAGCATCACAATTATTGTCACAGCTCTCACCTTTTTTACATAGTTTCTTTGCACTGTTTCGATGCTCTAAAGCTCGTTGCCTAGACTTAGATCTCTGGATTCTTGCCAGTGATAAACAAGGGTCGGGACAAATATCTGAGACCATCCCATCTCTACAATCTTGAGGAGGAGATGTAACACTAGGATCCAGCTCATCAGTTTTACCATAAAGGAACTTATCTAAGCCTTCATTTTCATTTGAAGCATCAACTCGGGAGCATAAAACAGGGGGTAAGTTCACATTATCATTTGTAACAACTGGCTGTTGATACAGAGAACAGTACGGAATGGAATGTTCTGACCGTGGAAGTAGGAGTCCTGAGATGAGATCTTCCTTGTTCAACTCTGCAATTAAAAGCAAACCTTTCTTTTTTCATTTATAAATCCATTAAAAGAACTGTTAACAGAAAACTAAAGAAATTATTCTAAAGTAATTGCTAAATTAAGTTCCAACACTAAAGTGCAATCATGAATTCAAATGAAGACTTTGCAAAAATGTAACGAAGAGGGACGAAATTTGAAAATGGAAAGGACTTTTCTATCTTTGAAGAAGCAAGTTTTCAAAACTAAGATCTTGAAGTCGATGGAATATTCCTTCAAACATTGTCTAGTTTAAAAAGGAATTAAGCATTAAATCAATTATTGAATTAGTTCAAAGATAAATCAAGACATCATTTCTAAACTAATGCTGAATGGAATATTAGTATTTAAAAAAGAGTATCAGAAAGGCAACAACAAAGAAGAATTCAAGATGCAATAGCTAAAGAACACTTCAAATCAATTACGTAAAATCAAGCATTAAATCAAAATTATCAAATTAATTAAATGGTAAAATCAAGAGACCGTTGCTAAATTAAAGCTTAAACTTAATCAAATATTTATTATATTTATGCCTATTAGAATTTAATAGAATATCAAAAGCAATAACTAAGAATTAAGAAGAATTCAAGACGCCATTTCTAAATAACACTTCAAATTGATTAATTACAGAAACAAAAAAGACAAAGAAATTCACGGATTTATATGGAGTGGAATAAAATATAAGCTTTAATAAGGAAACTAAAACCATATTATATCTAAGATATAGTTGAAATGAATTCAAAATGTAAAGCTTAAATGGAAACAGGGAGCAGGATTACCGGATGGAGAAGTGGAGAGGAGCCAAGGCGGAGGAACGAAGCCGTCGATGAGACATTTGGAAGCGAGTTGGTGATCGAAGAGAAGGATTTGTTGCTTCACGTTATCGATTATTCGATTCTTCCTCTCGAAGATCTGAATCAACGCTTTCTCTATCGTCGACATTGGTCTTCTTCTTCAATAGCCACGATTTTCCATTTAAAGTCTTTAAAGCAAAAAATAATATGGAGTTTTTATGGATTGACTTTGAGAGGGAGAAAGATAAGCGGGGTTTTCTATAATTTGAAATTCACGGGTAAATCTGATAAACATTGGGTGGCAAAATCGGTATTTCGTAGTAAAAAAACGATATGGACTCAATTCGATTCACATCAACAATACGACGTGGTTACGATTTACTGTAACGCTAATAACCGACCCTACCTAGTTTTCATTTTCCTCGGGGTGAAACCTTCTTTGCCTCTGGATAAACACTTTTTAATTTTGTTTTTATAAATTTCACTTTCTTAAATAAAAACTATATAAGTTTATTATCATGGCATTTTTTCTTTCCAATCAAATTATAAATTAATTAAAAAATTATATTCATTAAATTTATTCGATGACCAAATTATTCATTTAAATTTAAAATTTTATTTTAATAATAATGTTCATTATATCAATTATATATAATCTTAAACATAATTAATAAAATAAATGAAATATATTATTAATATAATATTATTTAATTCATCAATAATGTATAAAATTATATTTGCTCATCAAATATTAATCCTCCTTAAAAAATGAAAGTAGACATTTACAAAAATATTCATTACATTGTTAGCCTTGGAAGTGAATATAATGATAAAAATAAAATAAAAAGACAATTAAAGCAAAAGTTGTTCAACCTTATCAATGAATACCCTCAAGTTTGAGTACATTAAAGCAACTACAAAATAAAACCCCAAATGCCACACCAATGTTTTTACCAAGTTTATATGTTCTTTCATATTTTATTGGCATTTTTTGTTCATCTTGATCTTGTCACTTGTACAGACCAAATGGATCAAAGTTATTTGTCAAAGAAGCATGTGAAGAAGATGATCCTCCTCCAGCATTACCATTAGAACCATCTCTGAAATATCCTCCCATGGCGTTCGTCCCATCGAAAATCCCCTGGTGATGTCCCACATGGAAACCAGCCGGTACATAAGGCGGCGCCATTCTCATCGACGATCCGTAGTCCATCCCACGCTTCAAAATCGGCTCGCCGCGCAGTGAAGTCCTTTCGTTCTCGTTTTCCCGGTACCGGTTCAAGAAAACGGTGAGCGGCTCGACGTAGTCGTCGAAACCCAGCTTCCCCATGGCCCAAAGCACGTCCTCGGCAGTGATGGTCTTGCGCTGCTCGCGTTGGCAACGTTCGTTGGCTTCCCCGGTGATGAAGCTGATGTACTCCGAAACGCATTCTTGGATAGTTTCCTTGGCGTCGTCGGAGATTTTCGCATGCGTCGGGAGGATGCGGCGCATTATTCGGATCACGTTGGCAATCGGCATGTATTGATCTTGTTCACGTACCGTACACGGTGGAAGCATGTTGTTTGAGTTGGCAGCGCTGCAGTTGTTGGTGGTGGCGGTGGTGGGGTTTGAGGAATTACCCCCATGTCGATGCTAAACCCTGGAATAAAAATTAAGACCGCCAAAAACACGAGTCGTCATTCCAATAGCATGTTTAAATAAAAAAAAGCACTAATTAAAACTTTGAGAATCAAATTATAACTATAAATATTTCGTCATATAATCTTAATAACTTTTTTATATAAAATTTAATATTCTTCAAACAAAATAATTTTTATTACAAAATCTATTGTATATAAAGTCAAAGAAACATTAATGATCGGTAGCATAAATATATATAATAAATTTAATATACATATAAATAATAAATTTATGGTTTAATATCAATATAAAGAAAACAACTATAAAGGCAATTTCAACAATAACCAAAGAAAAATAAAAAGGAAGTCACAAAACTGCCACCTCAGTGGGCTGCATGTCATACGTGCCGAATCCAAGAGAGGTAAGTGCATTTTCCAGGCACGAGCGATTAATTGGGCCTCATCTTTCGTGATGGGCCTAAATTTTGTTATTAAAGTACGGACCCCACCTAGCGCTTTTTAGATTCTGTGTTAGGGGGATCTCAGCCCAAAGTCAAAGCCTTTTCCACTTCTCCAGATTTTAAGATTTCCTCTTTCCCAAAACACCATAACAAATTCAAACAGAACTACATACATTATTTACGAGAATAATTCCATTTTTATTAATAGATGCTCAATAAAATAAAATAAAAACATTAAAACTTATTAAATAAAATATAATTTATCTTTTCCTCCTTCCTAGAAAATATTAAGAATTACTATGAATTCAATTAATCTATATAAGAGAGGAAAATAAAGCATACCTTCATAGAGATATGATTCAGAAAACACTAAAAAAATTCAAAACATAACATAAAAATATCTATAAAAGTAAACAACTCAGAATATAACATGAAAAAAAAATGAGAAAAACAAATGAAAATCTAAAACTGTGATGCTACAAGTTATTAACACAATGAAGTTTATATGTATATATAATATTTTAAAAGTAATTATGAAAGAACAACGAACACAAATATGATACGAGTAAATGGATTGTCGCCTTTGCTTTTATTATATTAGACAATAAATATTTGTTCAGATATTCGAGTAAAGAGATTCAATGGATTGGAGTTCAAAAGATTGCATGCAAGCCAAGCCAGTATTGAAAAGTAAAATAAATTAAAATTAAAAAAATATTTATTTGATTATAGACCACATTTTATATTTTTATTACGCCACAATTAGTTATTAAATTTAAAAAAAAGTTGTTAGCAAGAGGAAAAGACGAAAGTAAGCAACCGTTAGTGTAAAAATACAGTAGAAGACTGGATTTTAAGTCAAAAAAGTTGATTTGAATATATTTAACTTTCAAGCAAAAACTAACCTCATAAACAATGGTGGAAAAACAAGAGAAAACTGAAAGGAAAGGTGATAACTCTATTCAAACCGACAACGGTTTCAAAAAAAACGAAAAAAAAAAAAATAGAATGGAGATTTGGAATGATGAAAACAAGTTTGCAGCGTAGCATGCAACAAACAAAACGATGTCAAATCCGACAGAGAATTTCAGGATCAAAATCCCACCATTTTAAAATATATATATATATATATTCATGCATGCAAAGATTATTACTAATAAAAAAAAAGTTGATGAATTTTTGTGTTGCCTTACCTGAACTTGATTTTGATTGCTTGTAGAAACGATTGAACCCATTACCACGTTCCATGGCTTTGTCTCTAAAAAAGGAGAAAAGGAAAAAAAAAGTAATATATATATATATATGGGGGAAAAGAAATTTAAGGGACTTGTGCCCTCAGAATGGGTACTTGACCATTCAAGTGGGCATTTATCGTGATACACAGACACACTCCACATGTCAAACCGGCGTTTCTAACGAGGAACTCAGTATTGCCGGTCACACCAACCTCTCTCATTGGACAACGCCCTCCCCCTAACCGGGGTTTACAGGTGGCACTCTTAAGCTTTTATTATTATATAAGAAATCACTGTTTAAATAATTAAAGAATATTTTAAAAAATAATTATATAAATCAAATGCATTTAAATTTAAAAATAATTATATGAGTAAATTTAATTAACTTTGATACTTACAGCATGCATTATCATGTTTAATGACTTCAGATATTGAGAAGTGTTGTTCTTAGTTTTTCATTATTATTTTTTCATACGTGTGTGATGTATGTGTATTTACACATTGAATTATTTATTTTAATTAATTATATATATTTATATAATAAGATAAAAATAAATAAAAAACTTATATCAATATGTTATTTATTTGTAAATTTTAATAGTTTTTTTGTACAAGTAAATTTAATAGTTTAATTTATAATAAAATATGATTAAAATTTAATGTACACGTATTTTAATATGTATTGGACTTTGTCTATTAAATTTGTAGTTTTAATATAATAAGAAAAAGATATGTTTAAACAAAAAATAATTTAAGAAAAAATATTATTTATCTATGTTTAATAATTTAATACGTATTTTACACATTTAATTATTTATTTTAGTTTTAGAATCTCAAGTATAGTATTTACATTATAATATACAACTCATTAAGCCATAGTTGGAATTTGGAAACATATACCCGAGATACTTAAGTTCGTATAATTTATAATTCAGTTTATCTGTAAATTCATCAATTAATTCTGTTTCGGGAAATTTTCAGTTCATTCGAATAATTACTGAGTCAAATACGTATAAGATTCTGAAGGTCGTGCATTTACCATTTAGTGGTTTCCTAGAAGCTTAAAAGGGATAAGATTAAAGGCTCATAAGGCAGCAGAATCAATGCTAGGAAGATGGAAAATACATAGTTATAAGACTGGGTGATGTTAACAAAAGTTTCTACTTATCTAACCATGGTGGCTTTAGAGACCCGAGTGTTAGTATCTAACAAAATTCACTCAGTCCCTTCCATATATATGCATATAACTTTGATCTAATCAAACTTTAGCTCATATACACCCCCCAAACTACAACACTTCTGCTCTCTCCGGTCTCGTTTTTCGCTTGCGTCCATTGGATCGCTGCTTCCGAGTCATTGTCAAACCATTCATAACTTCTTTTCTTGGCTTCACATCTCCGTTGCTTAATTGACAGTCAAATGTTTTCACATTAGTTACGATCGCGTGAACTGTGACCTCACTTTTCGAGACCAAATCGATTTTCCTCTCCACCACCACATTCTTCCCATAGCTCGAATCTTGAATCGCTGCTTCTCCCATCTTTTCAAATGTGGCATTCTTGTCGAGTTTAAAACCTTCAGTCAATTCCTGATCCTGCATGGTGGAGAGCTACAAATTTGTCAGGCATACATAGAATGCAGAGTTCAAATTAGCATAAATAAGCAATGAAAATCTCTGTTCACCTCAAAATTAAAAGGAATTTGGATTTGGGTGTTAAGGCAACCACATCCATCACTAAACTTGATGTTCAACAATATCTCAAATGTTTCGGTCCGAACGGTTCTCCTAAACACATTAACAAACAAGATATGAGAAAGGATGATAGAGAGATGGTGTACATTGCATGACCCCAAACACCTAAGCACTACATCAATAACATAAGACGAGGTTAGATATCATCATTTTATGAATCCCATATCAGATTAGTAAGAGAAAATGTTTAGAAATCTTAAGGTCAACTAAAGCCTCTCGTCTTATTCAGCCAGAAACTCCTTCAATGGTATTCACATATGCATGTAGAACCATAGACATTTCAGAACTCCATAGCTACCTTTTTAGAAGAAACGGCTGTGCATGTAGAATAGCTTCTTTGTAGTTTTGATTGTTAGAGAAGGAAACCTGGCGCACCGGCAAAGGAAAAGAATCAGTCAAGAAAAAAATATACATAAAGATGCTCGTAATTGATGCAGAATAAGCAAGCCCAGCTAGTTCTCATCTCGTATTGATTGTATGATAAACAAGATCATGCAACCTTGAATTTATATCGGCTTTCCCTTAATGACTTAGAAAGCAGAAAATGAAAGCCCAAGACAATTTTGGTAGCAGATTGTAGAAAGCCTACTATGGATGCTTCACGGTTCCAGAAAGAACGAACATGAAAAGATTGGCACAGAAATCTAATATCACCTCAACAGACTTAATGAATGGCAATGGAGCACTTAGCCCATGAACACTTGCAATGCGGATGGTCCAGTTGACAAATTTTTTTATCTGCAATGTAAATGAACAAGTCATGTCATCAATCAACAAAATAATGGCTCAAACAATTGATTCCGATACAATTTTAGGTAATATTTATATTCCAATGAAATGGGCACAGGACGGTCTACTTCGTTTTGGCAACAGAAGAAGCAAAACAAATTGTTAGTTTGAAGAGCATGTTCACCGTAACATTACAGATAAGGTTATCAAAGCCATACAACACAATTCTACTGAGAAATAAAATTACCCAAACTGTTTAAAGAAGTAAAACTAAAAACGACTTATCAAAGCCATACAACACGATGACAAGGGATTTCCGGCAGGAAAGAATACCAAACCCCACTAGCATTATCTATCGCAACATATGTATTTTCATATCAAGTCAATGACCTAAAAGATGCATCGTTTCTCATTGAAAATATTATATTCTATAGATAGGATTGAAGCATAATGTGTAGGCACATGAACCCTTTCTGTAATTTTTATAAATAATTGAACTGATACATGCTATCGAGAAAATTACCAGAACTTAGGGATTGAGTTAGAATAATTTGGAAGAGATCGATCCGGATATATGGAGGAATCTGCATATTAAGAAGCCCCATGACTCCAGCAATGACCTGTCCTTTTATGAGTTAAAATATATGACAATAGTTAACTTGCATGCTTAATAAGCGCACAAACTTAGCTAATCAACCAAGACCATATAAATAGTCAGTACATTAAGGATCTTATGTTACCTTATCTACAAAGCCATGGATCACCAAACTTGCTTTCTTGTCCTTCGGAGTTTTCTGCAAACATCAAATAAAGAATTACCAATAACTGTATGCCAACCTTGCCCATACCAACAGCAAAGGAAATGGCAAAGAAAGCTAAATAGTCACACCTACTTTTCGAACTTAATTCTCATGAACATTTTCCTTTTCCTTCAATCAATAGTTATTAAAGGTTCACAAATTGCATATGGATTTACATGAGGCCTTAGAGATAATGATGATGATGACAATAAAGCTACGATGGTGAAATCTTCTATCACATAGCCCACTAAGAAGCTTTCATTGAAATAGAATTCCATATAGACAATTTGCAAGCCTTTTAGGAACCAAAGCTTCATGGTTAAGGGAACTTCACATCTCAAACATCAGAGATCGAGATGCATTTAATAAAGCATACTCATCATGCATAGCTTCTACGTTGATTTATGGAAGAAAAAAATGGTACAAATCCAATTTACTTTTTAAAGATTTCCGCAAATACTCAAGCAAAGAAAGGATACCTGAAGATTCACGATAACAATCTTTCCCCCACCACTAAGAGATTTTAAAGGCAGATTGCATGCAGGAGTGATCTGCAAACTGTACAGAAGAGTTATGCCAATAACCAAAAACCAAAATGAAACAAATGATATGCTAAACTAAACTATAACAAACACGAAAAAATTGCTGTTCCACCTTCTTCTCATCCTTTGTGCAACACTTTGTAGTAAACTCATCAGTTGGAGTCCAAACTTTGTGACATTATCCACATGATTTTTAATTACTTGAAAAGTATATTTTGTAGTTCAAAACAGTCACTTGAAATTATTTATTCAAGATTAACAAATTCATTTTTATGAATATATTGATTTTTTTTAAAATTATGAATATTAAGTTAGGAGCAGAAATAACATATTTGTAAAGATTATTCCAGCATGTGCAATTTTAGGTTGGCAAAATCTTCTGAGATGAAACTATGTGAAGTTTGATCTGAGTTACCCGCACAAACTTCAAATTATGAAAGGTTGTCTGCTAATGGTTTACAAAAATATATTGTTAGAATCTTGTAAATGTTATGAAGGAATTAATTCCTCAAATACGACCAATCAGAATGGTTGACAATATTAAGGCAAAATACCTTGTCCCCAAACAAAGCACCACGTCACCCATTCTACAATGCTTCTCTGCTAGATTCATCTCCTTAGGCGGCAGTGCATCCTGCAGATTGAGGGAATGAACAGGGAACAAAGTATTCTAAGCAACATATTTTAACATGGTTTCTTGGCCAGTATGTTATATCACTGAATTAGGTTAATTAGTTGTTATTTTATGCATATTTCATATCCACCCTTTTAGATGAGTATATGGACATAAGCCAGCCCTCTAGATCGGAGGAAACAACAGATACTATTTTTATCCCGTATATAAACTATACTCGGCAATGTGACAAATCAAAATTCTAATATGTTGGCTTTACAAACATATCCGAACACATAAGACATCTTGGGCATATTACTGGAGAGGTAGGACTCAAATTTGGTTGTATGCTTATAGAATATGCTTCCTTTTTATTACCTCCCAATTCTAACAAAAGGAAAGTAAGTGCATTAGTTTGGAATGCTAAGAAGCAAAGAATATCATAAATCTCACACCTAATTCAAGTGCATCAAGGAAAATGCAAGCATACCTCCCAGTCAAGAACTGTATCCCTAAGTTTTGCACCACATTTCTCATCAGAACAACGTCGTGATGTCTCCTTCAATCCAATAGTTTCCAACTCAAAATCCCGCAAATACCTACAAAGATTTTATGATAACATAAGATTTCATCTAAGGAAGACAAGCTTCCAAATAAAAGAAAAAGACAACTATGGGAGATGGGACTGCTTTTATGGGCAAAGCAAACAGCGTAAATGAGTAAAATGATAAGCATAAAGAATATACAAGGAAGAGGCTTAAGAATTGCATTTTTGGCTTCTGATAAAAGAAATATGTTTCTTACTCAGTACCACACAAGGGGCAAGATTCCATGAACGAGTTCCCATGCAATTCAGCAAGCTTCTCCCTTGGTATTCCAGATCGAAGATGGAGACCATCAACATTCTAGTAAAATGTAGAGGAAAAAAGATAAAAGTTTAAGTCAACATGACTGGGGATTTTAAGAGTGTAAATAAGAAACTCGAATTACTCTATTTAACCATATTCAGACTAGAGTGATACAACACATACATTTGGCACACACCAAAGTAATAACATAACCAAGCTTACCTGACTAATAACAAACTTCAAAATGCCAGCCTTCTCCAATCCAACCAGAGCCATATGAGTCATGCTTGGCATTGCACGGTGAAAAGGTAGGGATGCTTCAGGTAAGGGCTTACCTTCACGCTGCATTAGATCAATTAAAATTTAAGAAATCAACAAGAAGGTTATGCAGAAGGTAGATCAAGAATGCATATTTTAAAATTTGATACTTTTTCAAGTGAATACTTGTTTCTTGTCAAACACCGAAACATGTCAGCTATTTAGGAAGTTAGAAATTTGTTTTGTTAAGGCATTTCTCAACATGCAAAACATTTTTTGAGGAAAAAACAGAGAGGATTTTCTTCAGAAACCCAACATAATTTAAGGAAACTGTTTCAACTTCCCAGTACTGAACTCCACAGGAACAAGTTGAGAGTGCTAAACAAAGTTTTCTCTAAATGGGACAACAAGTTCATCAAACACGTAGCTGTCTACCTAGAATATAAGCCATGGTTTACCTGCAATGTCCATATTCCTTTGGGGCCTCGAAAATCAGGAATGCCACAAGAAGTTGATATCCCTGCACCTGTAAACACCACTAGATGCTTACTCTGCAAGCACAAACAAAGACTTAAAGAAGCTGATTGACACAGACCAATCACATATTAATATATGAACCACTAACAAGAGAGGATAGCATAGGGTCGAACCTTTTCTATCAATTTTGCTAGCTGTTCAATCTGCCATTGCAAACATTAAACTTTGATCAGCAAAGGTAATAGAAGCATTAAGAAATATTATCAATTATCTTAGAGCATCATTCCAACAGACTAATTCTAGAGTATGTAACAGTTACGAAAGGACATTGCCATTAAACTAAATAACAATCAAAACTATGCATGCAAGGCCAAATATTTATCAAACTAAGCAAAAATTGAGCCTTTAAGCGCCTGTCGTGGATCCAAACAAAAGACTGTAGTTTCCACTTAACATTCCAATTCAATCATAGAAAGCACAAGGAGGTAACAAATTTTAGATTAAACCCAATAAACCCCTACTCTTGCTACCCTAAAAACACAAAAACTTGATATCAGGAACATTCGAAAACACCATCTTTACAACATTACACGAAACTGACAACCAAGCAAAAACCTAAGTAGCATTAACGGGTATTATTATAAAAGCAGACAGAATCATCAGAAACATCATAAGAGTAGCAATAAAAACAACAATTTGAAATGGAAGAGAGAGAAAAAACTACTTTATCTTGTAAAACATGAGCTGAGTCAAAGAACTCAGTCATTCCAACTTGACCCACATCTTCAATGAATGAGAGCTTCTCAGCATAGCCAAGAGACATGATGGTGGTAACTCTTTCTCTCTCTAAAAACAGTTTCCTTGGCTATGGAAAGTGTTTCTGGGATCAAAAAGAAAAGGGAGAGAGAGAGAAGGGCCTTTGCTATCTCTTCTATTTTCTTCTCTAAATTTGCTTAAGGGGGTTTAATTTCCTTTGCTTCTTTTAAGGAAACCCCAACTCAGAAGCCAAAACTGACACTTGCGTCACCTGCATACAGAAGAAAGAGAGAATCCAAGTAAAAGTTGAAATAACATTTATGCCCTCTTCTTTTTATTCATTTTTTAATTAGCATTTTTTAAACTTTTTTTCTTAATATGAAAAAAAACATTTTTATTTTATTTTCGTGATTCAAAATATTATTTATTTTCAGATAATTTTATCTATAAAAAATCATTTGATTTCTTTTTAAATATTGTTATGTCCTCTTACTTGGTGCAATTGAAGCTTTAAACTTTCATTTATGTATTATACCAATTAATTTTAATTATAATAATAAAATATATTGTTTTTAATTTTAATTAAAACTTAAAAAATAAGAATTTTATGTTGTAAAAAATAATGAAAAACAAGTCATCAACATATATTATTACATCTTGGGAAGTATAGCTAAATGGGAAACAGTTGTAAGTACCTTTCAGGCCCTTTTTTGGGCCTTTAATTTACAATAATTGGACAAAAGGGTCCAATTGATTTTTGGAAGATTCTTCCAAAAAAAATTCCAACACTGCCTATAATTTGGAGGATAAAATTCATAAATGCACATTAGCTGGCATTTCTTCTTCTGGATTTTATCCGAATTTAAATTTTATTATAATTAACATGCCATTTTGAATCCATCAAAGAATTAAATTTATCTTACATATTTTAATCAAAATGTTATTATTATTATTATTAATGAAAACAAAAAAAAACTGTTTAGAATCAAATCCAAAACTAATATTAATTGAAAATTTTTATATCAATTTCTTTGTTTTTTCATCTGTTATTAAGTGAGTTAATTCAAAAAATTTCAACGATTAGTGTGATTCTTCTTTTATTTATAATGATTTTATTGTTTTAATTGATTCATTTATACATTTTACCTGTTTTTAATTGAACATTTTAATTTTTTATATTTCTTATTAAAATAATTAATCAATTGAAATATTCACGTCGTTTTTATTAGGGATGGATGCGATTTTATGTTAAGAGATTGTCGTATTTATGCTTGCATTCATATTATAAAGGTAACCAAAGACACGGTTTTCAAATACGTTGAAAAAGAAGAAGAAAAATGGATGACAAGCTTATTGGATTAGTCATGATGGGTGAGGTGGGTGGGCAGATAACTTCAAAGGAACAGAATGTTGCTTGACTTTGAATTTTGAATGTTCGTAAAATTTTCAAATTAAAATTTGTCATGATTTATTTTAAGATCTTGACATTGAAAGCAATGGGCTCTTGCTTTTTTTAGCGTCCAATATTCCATACATAGTAGAGGTCAATTCATTTAGATTATTTAATAACATGTAATATATTATAAATTTATCATTTTAAATTATAACACGAAATATATAATAAATCATCATTTTCCCCTAAAAATGCATGATGTAGAAGATATTTTAAATAAAAATATATATTTCATATATTAGTTCCTATTTAACAATATAAAAGAACTATTTGATATTGTTCTTTCAAAAGTACCCAACTATACTAATATTGTCATGCAAATCATGAATAATAATATTTCTTTATATAAATAAGAATCGCTTTCTAGGAACACTTTCTTATACCACTCTTGATAAATGGAGAATAAATTATCAAAAATAGACAACTTGCTAATTTTAGGTTGCTTGAGAAAAATAAGATTGTAAAAAATAGAAAAAGAAAAGGAAAAAAATGGTGGTTGTCACGTATATTATGTATAAAGATAAAGAACTTAAAAGGTTAAGATATTATTAAAAAAACTAATAAATATTAGAGGTAGTGAAAAAAACTAATAAAAGAAAAGGTTTTTTAAGTATTATTCTTTTAATTCATACTTAACATTGCGTTTTGATTTCTTTTTAGTCACCTGTTATTAAAAATATTTATTTTTAAATAGTTGAGTGATTAAAATAGAACATAAGTGATATTTGGATATTAAACATGTAATTTACCCTTAAAATATGATAGATATAAAAAGTATTATAAAAACATTGATAATAGATTAGATAATATTAGACATTATATAAAATATATTTTATAATAAAACTGAAATAAAAATATCTTAAAACAAAATTCAAACAATTTTTAGGGGAAAGTATACAAATGGTCCTCCGATTATAAGATACTATTTTTTTGAGTCTATCGATTATTAAAAGTTACAAAATGATCACCCGATTATTCATGTGTTCCAAACTCGTTTTTTTCCATTAAAAAATTAATGACAATATAAGTTGGACGTTAACATGTTGACTGATATATGATAAAATATGATACCAAAATCTCAAACGGCTATCATATCTCAATCAGCATGTTAACATCAACCTTAGATGATCGTTAATTTTTCTAAAGAAAAAGGACGAGTTCGAAACATAATGAATAGTCGGTGATCATTTTGTAACTTTTAATAATTAAGAGACTCAACAAAACAGTGTCCTATAATAAGAGAATCGTTTTAGAACTTTTAATAATTAAGGGACTTAATAAAACAATATCTTATAGTCAAGATCATTTGTGTATTGTATCATAAATTTTGGGGAATAGGTCAGATATACATTGGAGTGAGAATTTGGTGTAATTGCAATAGATATATGTAACGTTCAGTTGCACCGACAAAAGTAGAAAATTCCAATGCAAAAAGAGTGAAACAGACATTAAAGATAAAAGAATCCTGGAGACCACCCTCTGCCCTACGTAACAGCCAGCAGAAATAGCGACGACTTTAGATTATTACCAAGTAATTAGTTGGAAATTTCCCGATAGCTTCAACGCATCGTCTTCCTGGTGACCACAACCGAGCGATGGAGATGAACCACCAAGTGCAAAAGCTGACCTTTTATCCAATACCACCACTGAACGGATCTCACAATGGTCGAACCTGAAATTAAACAAAAATTAATGATTACTAGGTGCATTAATGATAAAAGAAATGACATAACCAAGGCCTCTCACCGTCTGCACAATGCAGCCCTTACTGTTGGATGGCCCTCATTTCCAAGTAAATTTATCAGTATCTGTTGAAGAACTAACCATGGCTTACTACCACCATCTCCTTCTCCGGCCTTGTCCATAGCCTGTAAATCAATTTGCAACGAGCTTATTAATATAACATATACGTGAGGTATATTTAATAATTTGGCTACTCTTTCAGCAAGTTCTTCTGTGGACTCACGAAAGTTTGGATTCCAAAGATTGTCATCTTCATCATCTATCTGAATGAAGGTGTATAATTTTTTAACATAGAAAACAAGTTTATAAATATAAAGCACTGTTAAAGTATATATACTTGCCATTGAAAAACCGATGGAAGGGAAACGTGACTGGCAATCGCTCACCTTTCTCCTCATATCGATGTAAGGGAAAACATGTTTATATTAAAAAAATCCTTAAATTTAATTGTTTTATTTAGATTCTAATAATTGCAAAGTTGTGGTCGGAACTTTGTACAAGTGTCCACACAAATATCAAGTATTTTTTTCTCAATTTTTAGTTCGGGTGAAATTACATCATTAGCCTATACGTTATGTATAAGTTCTGAATAAGATGGCAAACATGTACAATTTAGTATATTCCGTACCGTACCCGTTTCAATTGGGGCGGGGATGTGTATAACTTTAGTGGGTAGTGGGCGGGTGTGGATTTAGAAAGTGGTACCCGTAGCGGGTAATGGGCGAGTGATGGGTTTGAAAACTTACCCGCCCCGCATCCTCCCGCCTACTAAATATTCATTAAATTTTGGACCATTATGAATTTAGGTATAATTTTAAAGACTAATTTATATATCTTAATATTGTATAAGATATAACTTATAATTTAAACAAAAATTAAGGATAAGTTTATGAATCAATTTTTTTCTTTCAAACCTCTCGTGCTTTGCTTCTTGGTTACTGCACCGATATTCTGGTAGTTCTTCTTCTCTATGTTTCAAACTCAAGGTCCAACTCATTTAGTTATGCCTTCTTCCTCTTCTTTACTCTGGTCTCCTCTACGGGTAGTATAGTTGTATGTCACCTTATACACATATACAAAACCACATTCCCTAATCTTGTTTGTTGCATCGAAGTTGTTTGTGGTCGCTTTAATTTGTCATAAGGTGAATACTCCCATTTTCAGATTTAATCCTCTTAGTTCTGTTCAAGATACAAGGCCAATAGTCAATACTCCGTTATTTTGATTTTGATATTCTGCTGAATCTAAGAGCATTCGTATATTGATTTTGATTTTTAAGAAACACATTATATGTACTTATATTGAATTATCGATTTTGGTATTCTTCTAAATTTAAGTGCATTCACACATTATGCTGATTTTGAAAATTATGAATAATTTATACATTATAATTTGTATAATCATGCATTGAAAAACAAAAACATCTTTAAAAAAACCCAAAACCAATACAACTTAGATTTGATCTTCTTTTTCTGGATAGAGTCTTTTAATTGTCATTCAACTCCTTTTCCCTTGTAAATTCGTAACCCTAATTTAAGGTTGTACGGATTGGTAAGGTGTGTCTACGCCTTAACTGCAGACTTATTCTGCGATAGCTCATGATGAATAAGCCATGCCCACGTCTTATGCGAAAACCTTCTATGGTCTTCGAATATAGCCCAAATTTTTTTCGGGTTTTCGAATAATTCGAACATGATTTTTTATCAATCCATATTGTAACACCTCAACCCGTACCCGACCCGGATACGAGTCTGAGATGTCACATTGACTTTTAAAACAATATTCTTATAAAAATATCAAAACATTTGAATTCATATTAAGAAAATACAATAATATACTATTAAATTATGCTTCATTATAAAAAATTTAAGGCAAAAACGTATTTATGAACAATACTATACAATATGAACAGTTCCGTGAACATTACCATGAACAGTGCTACAGTGCATCGATGCATTACTATAGTGCACCGATGCACTAAAATTTCGAAGCAAAATTGTGCATCGATGCACTGTTACAGTGACTTTCATAAAACGTTCATAAAACTCGTAAAAATCTAAGCTTTCATCCGTATAAAATTTATCAATTTCATATACGCATTTAAAATATTTACAAAACTCAATCGTATGACTTTTCAAAACTGATTAGAACATATTGTATTTAATCCCTTATTTACATGTCAACCACTTTCCTTATTTCAAAATACATACTATACATTTCTTTTCTGATCTGATCTTTGGAAAGGAGGAACTGACTTGTCTTGCATAACTTTTATCAAATTTTCTCTTCTCAAAACCTATGCGTGAAACAATCACACGATAAGTCGTTGACTTAGTGAGGCATATAAACATATAATAAAACTATAGAACATTTCATATAATAAAATGCATACATATACATATACCATCATCATTATAATTTCTATTTATCATATGATTTTGTACTTATCATTTATGTATATCATATAACACACATAACATCATATGTATTGTATTTGTTATTGTCTCTTTATTAGCCCATGTACATTTTTTAGAACTTAATGTATCTGAGTACATTGAGGTTGTGCACCACTATGCTGTCACCACAGCTCGTATTAATGTCCCGAATGACCTATCCAGAGGTCATAAAGAACCTCAGCAACTGTCCATAGGTCCCGAAGAACCTAGGTAAAATGTTCATATGCTCATTAGAACATAGGTATACTGTCCATATGTCCTGAAAGACATAAGTAATTATGTCCATATGTTCCGTAGAACATAGGTAAACCCTCGACTCTTGGCATGCCAACTATATCACTAGCTCTCATATCACATAACATGTGCATTATCATTTATAACAGCTTTAACAAATTCCTATCATTCCAACACCTTATAATCTTCCATATTTCATCCAAATTCTTAAGGCTAAGAATCATATCAAATTTTCTATGTTATCCAAACTTTGATTTAACACTTATAACTTCTTATTCACACCTATGACAAGTCAAATTTAGTTTCAAATTCAACTTATCAACTATTTTCCAAGAATTCACTTAAAACCTCATTTTCTTTAATCTTTCATAACTTTTTCATCTTTTGATTTTAAGATAACTTAAGATTTCCTTAAGCTTAATTATCATCTAATGATCAAAACCCACTCTTAAAATTAACAAATAATCAACAAAATAGAAAACTCAACTTTGCTCTAGTTTGGGCACGTTGGAGACAGTGTTTTGAAAACCGGACCGGCCGGTTCAACCGGGAACCGCTGCCTAGTCCGGTTCAATCTATACCGGTTGAATCGCTACTAGTGAACCGACCGAAACCGTTGAACCATTCAAACCGAACCAGTTGAAAACCGGAAAAAACCGCCAATTTTGTTTTTTTTTAAATTAAACCAAACAACGTCGTTTGTTAAACAAGCCAAGTCGAACTCGAGTATTGCTGAGTTCGACTCGAACTTGAAAACTTTAAAAGTAAGCTCAACTCGACTCAAACGCATGAGCTAAAAATTATCAAGTTCAACTCGAACTCGAAATATAATATTGAAACTTGAACTCGAAAATGCTTGAACTCAAAAAAAATTTAGAAGCTCGATTGAAGCCTAAAATTCGAGCTTGATTGAAGTGAAATAATAGTTCACTCAATGCTCACCAAAAGGCTCAATGATTTTGAATGACAAATTACATCTATTATTTATAGAAGTTAGTTTGGATGCTCTTCTATGTTTCTTAGTCATGTGAGATTGTTTTGTTCTCATATTTTTACTCTTTAGACTTTTGGGATGCTCTTCTATGTTTCTTAGCCATGTGGGATTGTTTTTAAAAAAAATTAAACCAAATAATATCATTTTGTTATGATTTTTTAGCCCCAAATTTATTTTTTAATTATAGTTATATAATTATATTTATTATTTAATATGTTTTACCTTAAATATTATGTTGTAGTTAATTTGAATCATTTAATTTCACTTGATTTTATGGTTTTTAACTTATATATGTTATGACATGCTTTGAATATGACTTTTGATATAAAAAATTATTTTTTATTAAATATTTTTGGTATTTTTATTTAATTTTTTAAATAATTATGACGTCGTCCGATTCTTCCGACCGGTCAGACCGGTTGAACCAATGAACCGGTAGCATGGCCGGTTCGGTTCTGAAAACCATGGTTGGAGAAGATGAAGAATAGAATTGTCTGGAGACTTATCTTTTTAATCATGCTCCACATGGGTATTATAATACTCAATAATTATTATTTAATTATTTTCCTTGTTCAATGACTCGTTTGCCCTTTGACTCCTTTAATAATTACTAAAAACTTTCAGGAAATATCTCCACATAAATCATTGAACTATTCAACTATTCTACTTTAATCACTAAATTCTGACATTTTACAATTTGATCGCTAACCCGGTATGATGTTACACATATTTGATCCTATAATCCGGAAAAAATTCCGGATATCCGATCCGAACTATCCGAAAATTGAAAAACGGATCGGATATTTGAATTTTTGGATCGGATCAGTCGGATCGAATTTTTTTTTGCGCACCCCTAGCTGTCAGGCGGGTCTAGCCGAGTCCGTCTTCAGTTGGGTAGTGGGTGTGGGGATTGATTTGAGAATGTATCTGCGTGAGCAGGTGTGGATTTGAAATTTTTTACCCATCATGGGTGGTGGGCGGGTGGTGGATTGGAAAATATTAGGTGGGTATGAGGATGGAGGAGGGGTATCCGCACCCGACCCGCCCGTTTACCATCCCTAGTTCTAAATTTAGTATATGTATTATAATTTAATTAACTTTAGTTTTATATTTTTAATTTTTTAAAATTCAAGTTGTAATTTAGCATAACATAAGGATCATATGACTAAATTACATACACTTAAAATAACTGATTTGTAAACGGGAGCAAAATCTACAACTTAAGCATAATATCAAGAAAAATGTAATTCAATTTATGAATTTAGCAACTATTGTTTAAGTTATCACAAACAAATAATTATATTGTACATGTGTTGTTTTGATCAGTGCTAAAATTTCAGAATTCAAAAAGTATATGAATCAAAACTAGAGTGCACATGCTAGATCTGTAAACTTATGTACAGTACATGAACTAATGATATAATTTTTTTAAAAAAAAGGAGAGAAGGTAAATTACACCTCTGATCGTTTACCTATGAGCAATTCTAATATAACCACCAATCATCCAATTTTATCGATCAGATCAATTAATTATTTAAATGATACTAATCAAGTCATATCTCGTTAATATTTAATGGAAGAATTAACACGACAGTTAATAAATTTGATATAATTATATATTTAGTTCTCATTACTTATACATTTTATCAATTTAATTTTAATTTTAATATAATTCAATAAAATAAATTTTATAATTTAAATGATGATAAATGTTCCTAAGGACAAATTACATGATACATATTAACATCTTATTAAAAGAAGGCATAAGAGTCACATTTGCCTCATGTTTAGTTTCCTATAAAACTTCTATTTTCAATTTATTTATCTTTTAAGGCAAAAGGGTAACTTTTGCTCCTATAGTAGACTCAATTTATTATTTTCGTCCTTATCGTATTTTCGTATCAATTTAGCCCTCAAATTGTTTAGTTGCATCATTCTATACCCTGTCTCTAACTTAAAACCCTATACCCTAAATTGATAACGCATAAACCATAAACCCTAACTCAAAGTCCTCGAT